ATAACATGTTTCGTTTATTTTAATCATTTCGAACTGAAAGTTAAAATTAAAACTTAATCAGGCTAGGTTTCTCTTTCTATGCAGCTATGTAGTATGTAATATGTGTACAAAATAAAACCGTGGAATAAAGAATTGTATTTTCCAGGGAAAATTCAATTTTATAAATTAAGTTGTCAAAATGTTTTAAATCATTTAAATTACTATTTTATTATGTACATAATTACATATTTTTGTTAATACATCTAATTTAAAAAAATTACCCGAGTTAATACAATATCAAATATGACTATATTATATATTAAGAACTATAATAGTAATTGTAATTCATTCAATTGCAATTTAATTTGTATCAATATTATGTTCCTATAATGAAAAATTAAGTGTTATTCAGATTCATTATCTATAGTGAAAATACAATAGAATACAAATATATACAATATATTGAATACTGAATAAATTAAAATACGAGTAAATAAGAATTACAAAGAAAACTGATATGTTGGGTTGCATAAAAGATGATTAATTTTAATGAATCAATCACTGGCCACTAAATCATGATTAAGAGACCATTAGTTCGTTATTGATTCATTAAACGCTAAGTGATTGTTTTTGCAACTCAACATTAATACATATTAAAGAAATGGTTCCAATTGTTTTAGTTTTAACCAATTAATTCTTAAAAAAAAAATATATTTATTTGAATGGAAAAATTAACGTAAATGTGAAATTTATAAAGTATAATATTATATTATAATATTTAATAATACAATAAATTATCATTCCCATTAATAAACAACTTATACAAAATATTTTTGCCAAAATTACTTATAAATACAGTTTCTGCCCTTGTATTTTTTTTATTGTTTATTTATGGTTTAATGATTTAGTTTCTTGAGTTTTTCGAGTTAATTAAAATCGTGTATTGTAAACATTTTAATTTGGTAATAAAAGTTAAAACATCAACAAGTAAATTTAAAAGTTCGAGAAGTGAAAAAAAAAATAAAGATATAAAGTACGATATAAATGTATTGTTTTAAATAAATTATTTCTGTGTATTAAAAACAATAATATCTTAAGTAATACCTTATTTAAAAAAACTGATAATTCTAATTGTGATTTCTGTATTTTGATTATTATATTTATATTAGATTTTGTCTATATAATTTATAATCACTTTATGCAATTCACATCCAAATACACGTTATTTATAGGTAAATAGAAGATTAATATTCTTCAGTGTAATGAGAAAAATGGAATAATTGGGTGTAGTACAAAGAGAATAGAACATTGTACCTACATTTGAAACTTTCTAAGATTAAAACAATAGCAATAGTTGGACATTAAGACTTAACTGGTTCAACCTACAAAAAAAACCAACCTAAAAGAATTAGATTATTTGTTTACTCCCTTGTATGCACCTTTATGGCATCATCACATTTAATGGTGCACCCATTCAGTTAATATAGTATACCTCTAAACAATATAATACTTGGGTGCACTTAATTGTTAAAATTTTAAACCCACGTCGTATAATTTATTATTTTCAGGGAATTTGAAAGTTGTGGGTTGCTTGCATTGTTTGATTTTACTTTTTCACAAATCGAAAAAAGACATTCTACACGTATAGATATACTTAATGGGAGTATTACATTTTCATTAAAATGTATAATACCTATGACGTTATAATAGTTATACATTTATTCGTTACGTGTATTATATTATTCACGATTTACGTATGTTTTCATCATAGTACAGTCAGAATTATTTTTATAGAGCAATGAAAGTGTTTTTAAGTATGGTCTACTCAGAAGGAACGTTGAAATTTATAGTATAGTATTATAGTGTGTGGTTGGGTATACCAACGCATATAAAATAGGTATAGAATAAAATTTCAAAGTGAAAAAGTTATTAAATTCAATGATTTGGCACATCGTTAATTTGTTAGTCATAATATTAAAATTATACACACATAAAAATATATAATATGATTCATAGTAAAAAATGTTATTAAATTTAATGAATTGGCACATTGATAAATTGTTGATTAAAATATAAAAATATTGTTTCATTGTTAGGTGAAATATAAAGTTGAATTCAACATTTTGGTTTGAATTAAATCAATTTAAATTCTTTTAAATGTTAAAGTGAATTTGACATTTAAAAAAAAAATAATAATAATATACATAAGTCAATAAAATAAATTATTTTCATACATTTTTTTGTGAGCAGTTATTATGAAATAAGAATATTAGATTTTTGAAATTAAGGCATTAATGGCTAAAGAAATTCATTTCACATTCCATAGGTATGATACTTAAATTACAATATTTGAATTAATAGTTAGACAATCTTTATTATATTACAGGAAAATTTGCCAATTGTGGAACTCAAAATATTAAAAGCTATATTTTCAAATAGTTTAATGTTTTTATATTATTTATGGTGCGTCAAAGCTTTACCCTCTCTAAGTTGGAAATGGACCTACCCCTCAAAAGAAGGTGGTTCTCATTTGAAAAAAAGAAATTTGTATGGTTGGCACAAGACATTTCTTAAAGTCATGTAAAAATGTAAGTAGGAGCCTAAAAATATGGTCTTTAATTACGCCTGAAAAATTTAAAAAATTATAATTCGACTAAATGAATTACTAAATTACAAAAAGGGAAGGGAACATGCTTTGTGAATGGTGTATCACTCTGTAATAATGTTCTAAATAGCTCCGCTGTTAACTGTTTTATTTTCGAAACATTATGGTAAAAGTTGATATTTAATATACTATATACGTTATAGTGTTATACTGGAACGAGATTAAAACCCAACGCCACTATTATTCGAAGAATCTTGCACGGCGCACATTCACAGGTTAAGTTCGACCGAAAAGCAAATGATTATGATTATAATTATCCTGTTTCGGGGCGAACGGTTAAAGTGACTCGATTTGAAACATAAACTATTTACGGGGTTCCTACGTGTTTGTTTATCTGCGGTACTGCGGTAGGAACAAACGTATTTCGATCGAGACACATTTACCAATTTATCCGGTCGGAGCATCTGTGGGTAAATTATTAACTGTTGAACATCCAGCGCAAATCCTCGAGTAAGCCCACCGCCCGACCCCACGATGCGATGTGTTCCCGGTCGCAACAACATGGCTTCCCGTAGCGCAAATCCCACTAAGTAAGACTTAATAACTGACCTCAGTAACTTCCCCTCTCCGATGGCTGGAACCCAAAGCAAAACGTTGATTTTATTTTTGGTGTTCGAACATTTTAAAAAACTTTTTTCTTTAAATATACATTTTATTTTTGTACATTTTAACTACAAGCAAATTGATCAGTGCTCAGCTAATAAATAAACATTATTTAGAGATTTATTGGATTTACTCTTGAAAGCGCAGTAGAACAATATTACTAAGTTAATATTTTAGTAATCGAATCTTAGTGATATTTTTAAATTATTAATGAGATCGCGCTGAAACTTTATACAGTTTAGTTTAAAGAGTATTTATTAAGTTACAATATTAATATAAAAGTACAAATTTAATTATGCTACTTTACTTATACTTGTGTAATTTAATGTAAATATTATTGTAGCAAACATTTGATTAATAGTTAATTTTAAAAGTTTTGCTGAGTCGTTCGTTTTATAAAAATATAGTTTCAGTCGTTACCAGTTGACCTTTTAACAACCACACATGTGAGTAGGGTCTGTATTCATGGTATGATAGAAATTATTTATAGGTAGGCACTGTACATTTTATAGTAATCACATTATATTCTAAAAATGTGTTGAATTCGTTTTTGTAATAGATTTTATAATTTTTGTTCGAAGCCTAAGTATTTTTGAAGGAGATGAAAATTCAGAATACATAATCAAAGAATAATATTATAATTAAAATGCGTAATTTGGTAATTTGTTCTAAAAAATTGTAATACTTTATATACTTCTGTTATTTTTATTAAAATTTATTTTCCAACTGGACTAAACTTTGGAAGTTTGTTTATATTTTATAACTCTAAACTTTGGTTTTAGATATTAAAATACTTTTATTTAAATATTTTAAATAATTTAATCGTACCATAAATTTAATTAAAAATTATTTATATTATATCCAATGAAAAATTAATTCATACTATTTAAAATTATTTAAGAAGCGTTATAACTATATTTCAGCTTAACCAACCAGAATTATTAATTTTGAAAAACTTATAGGGATCAAGAGTATTTATTGATAATTAATAGTTGAGAAAAACTATGAATTAACTATGATTAGTATTTGGTGGTGAAATTAGGAATTTGTCCTGATATAAACTATACAACTATACAACTTTTTGAATTTTATGGTCATAAACTTATATTCTACGGTTTATTAAAGAGAGGTTGAATTTTAATAAATATAAGTTAATATTTTTAATAAATGTTTACAGTATAATAGTTTGTATAAGGTAAGACTGCTGAACTCAAAAATTTTAGTTTACATTTTGATTTTTTGAAATGTAGGTCGTTGACTAAAAACTGATTTTAAGGTTAGCGTAATGACGTCTTGAATGTTAGTTAAAATAATTTTTTATTTAATTCAGTAAATCCTTGTTATTTTTGACTCGGTTAAACTAGATGTTGTATTTAATTATTATTTTATTGTGTTGTTTATGACTTTGGGTTAGATTGTTACTGTGTTTGTTAGATTTAGCACTACCTATTAATAAATAATAACGTTAAGTATAGTAATCGGTTTCTTACTATTTTTTCATTTATAATCAATTTGTATTACCTATTTATTAAATACTTCTATTAATATATGTTATCAGATGAATAAATTATTATTATCAGCATATTTTATTTTTTTTATCAGTACACAGATATTATTATGTTTGTGTACTCTATGTACTCCTAGTACAAATTAAAGTTGATAATCGTTGTTTTTTTTTCACATAATGATCGTAGTGTTTGAACTGAGCGAAATCAAAACCGGTTCGTTGGCGATTACTGTGTATAATATTATAAAACTACTGCTGTAGTAGGCAGGTATAGTGGTATAAATCTAGGCTACACAAGCATGTTAGTATTCGTCGGTCCGCGGTCCTGTACTCTGCTTCTCAATCATGATGGACAGCGGTTCGCTGGGTGCGACTTGGATCGCGTTTGCGTGCTGTTTGTGCTTCGTCATAACGTACAACAGTAAGTCACGATTATTGTATTTTGTTGTATACGTATTCTACGATTATTAGAAATCCAAATAGAAGCTTTTTTCCATCGTGTAACGACTATTTTAACCAGCTAACATAGGTTAGGTTAGGTACATACTAACAACTGGGGATTACAAAAACTTTGTAACGACTGCTGACTTGAAGTTACTTACCACAAACTTTTACACGTATGATAAGAACTAAAGTTTTAACTACTCTCGTAGGACATTTTTAAAACTGTGAGAAATTGACCATGTTTTTAAATATACTAATACTTTTAGCATACTAGGTTTCAATTTACTTCATCGTTCAATTAGGTGCGAAATATGCATTTCGTTGTTAAATGTTATCGGAGTTTTTATCGCTTATAAATTTTACTACTGCACGTTGTATGTAATAACATGTGTCACAGCCACTATTAGCTTTGATTTCAAATTTGTATTCAATACAAATATTATAAAAATAATTAGTAAATTATTTTAAATAAATATAAAATTTAAAATTATGTTGCATGTTTGTAGTTTTTTTCTTGAAGTAAATACTTTTTAATAATAAATTCTGTAATTGTTGTTAAGTATGCAAATAAAAACAAAAACAAATACATAGTAAACATATTAAGTTTTTTATTTTTTGTGTTTTAAATCACCCCTAAAATCACTGAAAAAAAATATTACCTATATAATTGTTGAAACTTTAAAAGCAAACGTCAATCATTAGTCGCTACATTCGGTATGCTAGTTTTGGCGCAATCAAAACTGCATTTATTGATATTAATCCTTCAACATTATATTTAGCTGTTTTTAATCTCTACAACTACAAAAATCTATAAACGATTTCTTTAGCTAAGTATTATTAAATTAAGATTCCTGATAATAAAGATGATTATTATCGGTGTTGGTGTTTTTTATTATTTTAAAAAGTGTCCACAAAAAACCATTATCAATATCCTAGAAAAATACTTATTAAAATGTACGTAATAGTAAACGTTGAATTTCAAATATTTATGAAATTCTGATATCATTCTACGAAGGTGCTAAAACAAACACATTAAGTTGCTGGATGATTTTTTTTAAGGTTTTGCTCGTAATGCAATCAACTTGATCGTTACAAAGGTAAAGGCACTATAAATCGCATTATGCACTCTATCCTTAGTTTTTTTTATTTAACTCTAACGTGAGTCGACTACATGTATCACATATTCTTTATAGCGTCTTCCAAGTTTTCGGAACTTCGTATAAAATGGGGAAAAATAATGAAATTATTATGTCCTTTGAATATCATTCGTCTGCGGGAAAAAAATACGACCGTAAATAACATACTTAATACTCGAGGGAAATCACATGATGGTTTAAAACTTTGCCGAAAATTAATACTCACTGTTTTATTTTTGATTTTTTTCCGACTTTTTTTCAACATTACACTATAGAGTCCTATTTTATATTAACATTCTTTACCTACTTGTAATATACTAAAACTAAATCTTGTGTAAGTACATATTTTTTTATTGCCTTATTGGTATAGACTTATCAGGTATAAATTAATTATTATGCCTGTGATCGAATATTTATGAAATATAAAAAATTGAAGACAGGCACAAAAAACACGCATCATTGTAAAATAAATACCTACATTTATCACTCCGCTCAAAATCTAAAATTATGGAACATAGCGAATAGGCAAGATTAATAATTAGTACATATACTTACAAAGGGTATGTTATAAGCTTATAGCTTAGTAACCAATAGAACGTCATACGAGACAAGTATTATATATAATTTTAAAACTCTAAATTTGTACTAAAAAATATGTAATATTTAGACAGCCTAGTTAATGTAAGTACGTGTACTGACATTCGAAATGGCTTGTTATAGCAAATAACAATTATTTAATAATACTAAAATAATTACTCCAAGAAGAATAGTATATGTCCTTGAAAATTGACTGTCCAACATCGGCAGTACAAATTCTTATTTTGCTATTGTAAACTTCGTGGACATGGAATAATAACGATGACGATGTTATGTACCGTATACCATATAGGTATATAATAATAATATAGTGACTTGTTTTTCCGGCAACCTACACCCGAAAACATGACGTGTGTATTGGGGTGGTTGAAAACACGACCACGATGTCCAGTCAGTAGTCACGTTATTATTTATATATTTTATGTTTACACAATAGAACCGAATTCCAGTGACCGAGAATGAAGCTCGTGAAACACGGTGGCTCGGATAATACTGATTAATAAATTATTATACACTATGAAGCATCGCGTGACACCTGCAGCCCTGATTCCAGAGATTTCAGACTTACGTACGATTATGTTTTATATGCGTCAATAAAATCGCTACAAATTTTTGTGTCGGAACTTTCGTCTGGTTCATACACGTTACTTAAATCTATTATTATGCAGCTAAATGCTGGTAGGTTCAAATAGGTAGATAATCCTCATTCGAAAAATCGATTAATTAATGAGCGAAAAATAGATTTTCTATAAAAAAACACCGGTATTCGAGGTTAATTTAAATTAATAATTTACACCTGATTAAAAACTAAAAAATATATTTTGCATACCTATCTATTTTAATTATTAATCGATATAATAAGACATAATATAGCTCTTGTTACAATATCGTTCTAGAGTGTTCATCAAAAATACAGTAAACTGCAAAGGGACTGTATTCAGTCAATATTCTCAAGGGAGCAATACAGTGTAGCATGACTCTACCTAATCCACGCTTTTGATAAACTTAAAACTCATCAGAGTAAAGCCCATCTACATGTCCGGATTAAGGGGGTTGGAAAAAAGAAAGCAGAGAACCAAATTAGTGGCCCTATTGGCTTTTTAATTTTTGATATTACATAATAATATATAATTAGCGCCTATTGGCTATTATTGGGAAAAAATTAATTATACTTGAACTAGTTACCTAATTCATGCAATTTCTAGTTATTACATACGAACACCGTCATTAGGTAGGTATAGTTATCCATAAATTAATAAAGAGGTTTTAATGAAATTGTTTTAACTAAATACAAACTCTAATTGATTTAACTGCCTACTTATAATAAAATATAATATTAAAGTGTTTTTATTCTCTTTGAGGGGCCATCGAGAAAAATTTGGCTATCTCTAAATGTCTTAAACCGCGGGCATGCATATCCAAGATCTATCGTCAACATTTTAATCTGGGTTACATTACATACCAATTATTACTACTCTTACTTTTTACCTTCATTAGAAATTATTATTTGAATGAGATTTTAGTGGATAACATTAACGCCCAAATCAACAGTATACCGATTTAAAAAGTCGTCACTGACAACATCCAATCTAAGCATGTATACATTGTACGTCATTTAACACCATGCACTGATCTTGGTAATAAGCCCCATCTATGGCACGTCGTGTATCTGCCAAGTAGAGAGACGATAATATTATATGCACCGCGAATGAGATACTTACTGGGAAACTGCGACGGGTGACTTCTTTGACGAGGGAACACGCGCGAGGTGAAAATATTGTTAGTTCTGTCGGCGACGACGACGGTGGCTCATTTGTAGAAATTTTCTAAATTGAAACGAACGACTTACTCGAGAACAAAGTAATTTCCACAGATTAAGTGAAAGAAAACGACGATAGGTAGTATATAGTGTAAAGGGGGCGAACGGTGTGTCGGTGTTAGGGGGAAAAAAACGCGGTCTAAATGTCACGCAATAAATCGTCCAGGGTTTTTCGGCAAAACGCACACACCGGCGTGTCTTGGAAAAATAAAAAAATAAATACACACAAAGAAACCTAAAAGTTTAGATGATAATAAACTGCCAGCGGCGCAAACTTTAACCGCTGCCACCGACCGCAAAATCCAGTCATTCGCGGTATTTTCTCGCATAACACGTCTTCAAAACTACCACACTATAATATTATATTATGCGTATTATTGTTGTATGCTGTGTCGCGATGATTGTTCTATATTACTTATGTAATTATTATTATTATTATTATATTTCTGTTATTCGTTTTCAGGTCGTAATGTTTGCTGCTCTCACGAAGCCGACTCTAAAGTGTACACGGAACAAGGTAAATTAATTATTATTATTATTGTTGTTAACGACAACTATATGCTTGAATCATTATCCATTCATTTTTAATTAATATTGTGATATTTGTTTGCCATCGAATGGTTTTGACGGTTGTTAAATATATATGTATGCGTATGTGTGAGTATAATGTGTAATATATATTAGTTTTTAACTTCTACTTTCGTTGAAACGAACACATTCAGATACCCATAACTCAAAACTATAATTGGATACATTTTTTTAGTCTGCTCCACGTATTGTAATATAATAGTATTGTTAAATCAATTTTATATTATATACATTTTTTTAAATTATAAATTAAAAGATGTTTAATTTGAAAGGTACCCATTTAAACATTATACAATTAATTCAAATTAAATTACTATATTCTGAATATTTATCAATTGTATGGTATTTCTAGTGTCTATTTTAAAATAGTTGTTTAGCATTAATCACAAAATATTTTAGGTTGAAAAATGTGTAACTAAAGGCAAGCCTATAGGATGTATAGACATAAAAAAGATTTGATTTTAGATTCTGAGCAGAGCAATTAATGTAAAGGTTTTAAAATAATGTTGATTTTTTTTCATAAATGTCATTTAGTATTCGTAAAAATTAAATAAATTACTAATTAGCAATAATGACAAACCGTCTCCGTTCAAAAATTTGTTTTTTATATAAAATTATTTATTATTAAATTACAATTTAAGTCAAATGATTTAACACATAAACTATAGCAGTGACTTAATGGCGAAGTACGCACGCTAGATATTTAGAACCTAGTATACAGCAGATTGAGTTCCCCGATTTTCAATTTTAAATCCATGTTTCATTGATAATGTCCAATTTGTAGTTTACCCGGTCAAACATTTGGTTTCTAAATTGCAACTCTTCTAAAATTGAGATAAAAAAGTTTACTAAAAAGTAATTACCCATTGTCTTAGTAAAATATTAATTTAAGAATTGTAAAAATGTTAGTATTTTTATTAGTAGCTTTCATTTTTTAGATCTATTCATGGCATATGAATAATAAAAATAACAATGTATGTAATATACACATATGTTGATAGCAGTATTAACGTTTTGTATAACTAGAAAATGTAATGTCAAGAGATTACAAATGTTCTTATAGGTCATTCGGTATGATTTTATGTAACCTACTGATTTATAAATTAACATAGCATTACAAGCGGTAATAGGTCAAGAGGTAAAATAATTTATTTATGGTTAAGAAGAAGTTTATTTAAAAGCTTGTAATATTATATAACAAATATAATAATATAATATTTGTATACTATGCACTTCAAGTTAATTTTTTTTCCTAAGAGCATGTAAGAGCACTATTTGTTGTTTGTTTTCTTTCTCTCCGATCTGCGCGCAACATAACAAACTTGAGTTCACCAGCGCCAATCTCGTTTTGTGAGTTTTAATATTATAGTGAATCGAATTACCATCAACATTTGTGTTAAGAACATTATCTGTGTATGTAAGTCGGCATTTTCTTTTTAAAGATCTTTCAATTTTCATGCAAGTTCCGAGTACGTACAATATTACGATTTGGAAATGTTCATATCCAACTTTAATATACCGTGAAAAAGCCAACGTACTAACTCAGTGTTCTTAACTCAAAGTTTGATAATAAGTTGATCCACCTTAACACTAAAGCTTACAACGCAAGGTTGGTTTTGTTAAATACAAATTTGGTATGTTGCGCTTGGGTCAGAGAGAGAGAGAGTTAACTAATAGTGCTCTGACGTCTGACTTAATATTTAATGCTTTTAAATTATTAAACCTTCATACAACTTATCTATAAGTTATTAAATATTAGTACTAATTTATTATATTTAAATAAGCTAATAACTCCGCGAGGAACACGGCCTATTGGAAGCACCTACTTACTTCCATCCAGCAACGAAACAGAAAAATAATAACCGAGAAATCAAAAAGAAGCAACTTAAATAATATAATTTTATATTTTTATACATATGGATTTATATGAGATGACATTTTTTACAGTCACGCTTATCATATTACTAAGGTCTTTCGTAATTGAAAAAAAAAAATTTTTTTCATTGTTTGATAGCGTGCGTTTTAGATTGTGATCCTAGCGATGAATGTATTGATTTTACAACGATATGTGTGTTTTTTTTTTATAAGTGTTTGTCATCTATTCTACTTTTAGGAGATTAAAAATGCTTCAATTTTCTTCGATTGCATCTTTTTTGGTAAGAAAGTGAATACAATTTTTCCTCGAAGAGAGGGTGGGAGGGGGAAGTGTTAAAAGTAAAAAATTCCATTAGTTTCCAAAAGTGTCAGGAAAAATGAACAAAAAATTAAGGAAAAACTTAGATATTTTTTCAAAACCAGTTTTTGGAAAAACATTGATTTTGTTACTTAGGATAACTTCAATGTAAATCCTATGCACCATAACATTTTCAAAATATTACAACTATTTTGAGTTATTTATAGACATTTGAAATTTGAAGTTTTTTTAGTTTTTGTTCTATAAGTGTCATAACAATTTTATTCGTTGGGTCTAAAAACTTGAAAATGTAATACAAAGTTCTTTATACATTTTTATAATAGCAGTTAATAAATATTAAAGATGCATTAGGAAGATTTTTTTTAAATAAGTATTTAAATTTCAAATTTTGAAATCATTTATCAAATTCACACAAATGTTCAAATTAGGTATTTTGTATTTAAAAAATGATGAAATGTTCAATTTTTATAGCTAAGGATTGAAAATTTAAAACCAGTGTTGTCATAAATAGTTTATACTTACTGTAATCAAAAAAATCTAAAAATTCTACAAAGCACAGTTATTTTGTTCAGACATTTTAAGTTCAAATTTGGATGAAATTTATATTAAAATAAGGAAAAATGATTTTAGTTGTTTCGTTGTAATTTAAAAGCATTTTTTGTGTGTACTCAGGAGCATATTATTATATTGTATACAGTAAGCACACAATAACATTTTCAAATGCAATTTTTTTGATGAAAATGAATTTAACTTACTTTGTAGCATTAATACCTAATAATAAAATAAATTACTTAAATCAAGATATCATTAGGTTGACTTAGTAATATTATAGGTTGATAGACCATGTTAGCTCTGAATCGTTTTTCTTATACAATAATTATTAAATTCAAATTTAACACATCCATTTCATTGATTCTGTGGACACCTAATGGTACAGCAAAGTGTCAATTGTCTGCTTTTTAATTACATATATCGAAACAAAAAAAGGTTGTTTAATACTTTTCTGAAAATGTTGATTCAAATTTTGAACGAGTTGCTAATTAGTTATAAGTATTTGAAGTTTTTATGAGTGGATTGGAGTAGAGTGGCACTGCAAGGGTATCCCGAAAATTTTTTGTATACTATTCCGCTCTTAAAACTTTAAATACTTATGACTCGTTATAAGTTATAACTAATTAGGTATTTACATTGTTAAAAATGCAATGCTTATACATCAAAATTCTGAAAAAAATATTCAAGTATGAAATTTAGAATGTACATTGTTATTCAATAAAGTAAAAACTTAAAAAAATAATAACGATACAAAAAGTAAAATAAAATATGCATTTTTTCAAAATTTTTTTTGTAATAATTCATTTCAAACTATATGTTAGGAAAATATTAAGTTTTAGGTACTTTTTTAGGTAATGAATGTGAAAATTATCATCGATTATGTATCATATTATATCATATTTATTAATGTATTCGATAATTCACCCTGAATGTTAAGACAAACATCAAAATAAAAATTACGAATAAGTGCACAAATATCAATTTTTGAACTGTGTATTTTAAATGCCTCGATAAATAATTAATAAATAAGTTTAAATCATGACTTAAGATGTATTGGATACCCTCAACAATTAACTGTCCGATTTCAATAAAAAATGATCAATGGATTCATTGAGACTTGTTGAGCGTTTTAAAATTATTTTTTCAACCAATATATGCTTTTATAATGTGGCCCGCATACGCATTTTTTTTGGCTTAAAGAAATCCATTGTTTTTTGTTTATATAATTTAAACGATTGTCATTACTCATTGAGTAGTGATTACATATTAAATACTATTATAATTATTAGAAATATGGATTATAAAAAAAAAAAATTAAATATCGATTTTTTAACATTGTAATACAACATTTTTTAAACGAAAAGTGTTTAGATATGTTTACACATAAAATAAATGTGCCTTAAGTTCTAACTGGCTCACTACCCTATAATTTTTTTAATTTGTATCCAAAAAAAAATTATAGAGAAGATCTATGTTTCATTATTATTAACTTATTTTTTTTATAGAATTTAGGATAAAAAAGAGGAGTACCTTGTTTGGAATTTGTTGCCAGTTTTTATTTTTATTTTCTGCTGAAATGAGTTATCTATTTTTGAACGTTCGATTTTTTTTTTATCGTTATACAATATACATAATACAATATACATGTACTTAGTATACAGCTTACAGTACGAATGTACAATTCAGTTAGGCACCTCATCATATTTCAACTTAAGCTTTTTAGTTGTTACTATCGATATTCTTTATAGAATCTATTTTGTCTACTGGATTTCCTTTTTAAAATAATTTAAAATATTCAGGGCATAAACACATTACATATTACTCTCGACTTTCAGCAAAGCTGATCATCTGAAAGAAATTCACTCACGTTCGCCATTGTAAAAAACCGGCACTCGTTAAAGTCGGACTTAAGTCTCGAGTGAATTGTTATTTCACGGAATATACATGTATAAATGTATAATATTGTATATATGTATGTAAAGACAAAAATAAAATAATAACAGTTTGGATTTTTTTTCCCCGCAGACAGACAGTACTGGATCGAAAACGGTAAGGAGAAGGTGACCGAGAAAGTCAAGTACGTGAATAAAAGAGGCGTCGCCAAAAATATAATCATGTTCCTGGGTGACGGTATGTCGTTGACGACGTTGACGGCATCGCGTATCTACAAAGGTCAAATGGAAAAACGTTCCGGCGAGAATGAGTACTTGAGCTTCGAGAAATTCCCATTTGTCGGCATGTCAAAGGTGATATTAAAATAAACTAAATAAATATGAAATTCGAACATATTTGTTTCACGATATCACCACTAAAATTTAATTTTTAAAACCATTATGTCATCGTTATAATATTTAATTGCTTAAACATTTTTATAAATATTAGATTAATGTGAACTATATTATTACAAATTACGACATACCTAGGATATTGTACCTATTACGTTCAATTAGTAAACCTAGATACAAAATATGTTTATTATTATGCCAGCTAACAAATTCAATCAGCAATGGCCAATGGCACTATATTTTAAACACATTTCAGTTAGGCCAATTCCATTATATATACGCTAAGTACGTATATTTTCAATTGAACAATAATTATTGATACTTCAAAGTTAAATATCATACTTGAAAATGTTTGTCTGTTTTTAATTGTAGTATTGTACCTATTGAAAACTTCAAATAAAATAAATAAAAAAGGTTTCATCCGGTTAAATATTTATTTTAATGAATAACTATTGGTGTTTGTTTTATCAGTTGTAATCACTTTGAATAGGCACCTAGTTAATGAATTAAAACTAATACATTTTATTATTGGGATATTTTATAAAAATGAATAATAATACTATTGGATACATCTTAAAGATATGAAATATGTTAGGCTAAGATGGGATAAGTCTGGTTTAGCTCAGCAGATTTGATCTTTACATACATTTTAATTAAAAAAGTGTAATGTTAGTATATAATGTAGTGTATAGGTATATAATTATAAGTGATGAACTGTTCTTGCAACTATATTATATTCTAGTACGTTATTTTATAACTTCAATACTATAAGTAGATACTTCAGAGGATATTAATTTGTTGTATTTAAAAAAAATAATGTTATATTTGAAATTAATGGTTCTAAATACGTTTAATATAATATACTATAACATGGAGCATAAAAATAACTGAAAGGTGTTTGTAAAGTATCTTTAAATCACTTATGATACATTTAAAGCAATATATATCTATAGTTACTTAATTAATACACAAAACATAAAAGGTTCAAAACTATACTATGATATTTTAAAAAACAATCGAAATGCAAACCATTTCATGAAAAATAAAGATTTTTAAGAGAATAATTTTAAAATGTTATAGACCAAATAGATAATATTTATCATGGCTTTGAAATATTATTAAAATAAACATTATCATCACCTAACCTTTATTTTTGTTCACTATTTTCAATGGTAATTTAATTTAAATTGTTGATAAATACGTTATCTGACAATTTTGTCAGTGTTGATGACAAGGGTAATGGTGTTAATTATTAGAGACCTAAGAAAAATGTGGTCAAAGTGCAAAGGTATAATGCATAATTAAATGTGCGGTGACTGGGATGACAGCTGTCAAAAACAGTGCGTTATGGGAAGGAGAATCCTAAATAAATAATAAACAATACAGCTGGTGATAAATATTTCAGTTATAACTTATAAGGGTAATTAAAACGTAAAAATCAAAATCAAATATGTGTATTGGTTATAAATTTATAATCATTATTATCATTTCTGTTAAATTTTTTCAATAAACATAATATGAATAGGTACTGTGTTCATTGTTAGGTATTTGATTAAACAAGGTATATTAATAAATCGAAATCACAAATTATATTCAATATCAGTACAAGAAATGTAGTCAAGATTACCGAATTCATAAACATATAAATATAATTTAGAATAAACATGAATTATATTTTTATAAGCTGTTGTACGGAAATAGGGAATAATCAAAATATGTCAAAAATGGTGGTTACATATTTAGAAGGTCGTACATTTGTAGTTGTGGTAACTTATAAATGAAAGAGTAGTAGTGTTCACACAGATCCTCCTCTGCTGTCGGTTCAAACGAAAAAAAAAAAAAAAAAAAAAAAAACAACTTATAAATGAAATAAAATGTTGCTTAAATAATTTTATAATTAAATAAAAATGCGTTCAACAAAGGTTAAACTAAAAATGTAATCTGTTCAATATTGAAATGTAATATATTTTATCGTATTTGTCAGAATGGTACGATGAGTGGTGAATTAAATTATACTATAACAAATCCGTCTTGTGTGAATAGTTTAGGTTTGGTTACAGAACCTTCACTTTAAGACACGGTGTTCTAGAACATTAAATAATTTACCTATTCTTTCACTTTTTTGGCCAAGTATTTAGGGTTTAACTTTGATAGGGGATAAACCTGAAATAAAAATATTAAGTGAAGACAAAAAGGATTAGGGCTTAAATAAATATGGGCATAAGGGATACAGTTATGGGGTATTTCCTAATAATCAAACTTAAATAAAATTAGTATTTAAAAAAGTATTTCAAAATATACCATTCTACAAAAATAATAAACTCTACACCCTTTGTGCCCAACGAAACTTTCACAATGACCTTAGCATTAAATCAATTGAGGATGAAGCGGCACTTTTTTAAAACACTGTTTCTTTAGACTAAAAAACTACCACAATCTACCCATAAACATAAGACCTACATACCCGTTAACTTATTGAAAACCTTTTGTTTTAATAAATTATGTCCTTTTACCTTTTAATCTTGACCTAAGTCTCATGCTTCTTTTTCAAGTAACCACTATTGACGTACGAACTTATTATACATACGTCATACATAATATGCACTTATATATACTGTATGTGCCTACGTAAAATTATTAAAATTATCAACTTTTTGATTTTTAATGGCGATATATATTTTTAAGTATCATCATTATCTAAAGTGAAATATTTTTCTTAAAATGTTGTTAAGATATTTTTATCAATATGCGTTTATGGTTTACATTAGTAAAGTTGAGGACCATTTATACAGCGGTGTACTGTTTGCCTCTTTACTCATATTGTCTCAACTTTCAATACCTACTTACAAATAAAAAATATTTACTCAGGATGACTAGCTATATACGCACGTAGCTATTGAATTATTTTGTCAACAAATGTATTCGTTCGTGAGTAGAGGCGGTAGAAAACAGGGTTAATATTATAATCCTACGCACACAACGTTGCTATCCTATTTTTATTCCTTGCACGACTAAAGCAAAATATAGTAACGCGATTTTATCATAGACGCACTGGAGTCACCCACAGATATATATATAAGGGTATATTTGCTACTTTAAAGCAATAGTCTTGCTCCCCTAAAAATGTTGATATTTTGAAAAGTATTGAACATGAGGAATAGCATTGTATGGTACTTAACTACTATAAAATAACGTTAATTTGACAAATGAATGTAGGGTTTACGTCAGAAAAATAATCATAAATCGTCGGTTAAACGGTATCACTGTTATTGTTAAAACTAATACCATACAGAATGTGCAATTTGGGAATTGTTTCATTTTATTTTGCTTACTTGGAGAGTGTATCTTTTATATTTTTGTGGAACTATTTTTGCTGCCTCAAAACTATTTCCGGAGACTGTGGAGACTCTCTACTCGCAGGAACTCTTTTGTTAGATATCGGTCATCGAAATCTCGACGTGGTGGTGTAACAAGTGCAGTCTCGGGCGACCCACCTAATCCTTTATCGTGTCACTTATTATTTCAGACTTACTGCGTGGACAAACAAGTGGCAGACTCGGCATGCACAGCCACCGCTTACCTGACGGGCGTAAAAACCAACTACGAGACGATCGGGGTATCGGCCTCGGTGAAGCTGTACGACTGTCCGGGGTCGGTGGCACCCGGCAACCAGACAGAGTCAATAGTCGATTGGTCGATGGCCGCTGGAAAAGCCGTCGGACTGGTAACCACTACCCGGGTAACACACGCGTCCCCGGCCGGGGCGTTCGCGCACACGGCTCATCGGGACTGGGAGTCGGACGTCGATCTAGCGGAGGCGGCAAACCTGACGGACGTGACGCAGTGCGAGGACATCGCCAAACAGCTGATTACCAGAAGCCCTGGGATAGACATAAAGGTGAGTACATATACCATGGTTGTCGTGGTACTGATGCGCTGATTTTTGTTTTTCAGGAACCTTAGTGTATCTACGTGTAAGCACATTGTTTGACTTTTGTTTAAATTTTAACTCTCGACCAATTTTGGTGATTATAATTTTCTGCGACCCATGTCAGAATTGATAGTTATTGAGGGTACTGCTGAGTTCTACTGTTTTGTTTTTATATGACGCAGGTATACAATTAAATTATTCATTTTTGACTTGGACAAAATTGGAATAAAATTGAATAAATAAAAAAGTCATATATTTTATTTTAAATTACTATTGACTATGAAATTTAAATTCAATACAAAATTATTATTCTCGACCATGTAGTGTAGTGTACCACTGTGTGATATTTCTGCCAGCCACTTACTGTGGTAATTTGATGACCACTAAACCGATTTTTCACTGACAAACGGATAACACATCCTGCCCAGTCCTTGATATTGTGTATTACAGTCGTCACTCGTCATTTCATAGCCCCGGACGTGTTATTTTGTAATATTGATCAGAATGATTACCTCACGTTGCGATTAATATATTATTAATTGTGGTCTTGTTTTCCTCTTTTGCTTTAACGCTGAGTTCAGATTACAAGTAAGAAAAACTTAATATCGTTTTTTTTTTTTAAAAAGTCTTGTTGAATTATTTTTTTTTGTAGTTATAATATTAAATTACATACAATACATTTTTTTTATTAATTACTAATTAGTATTATTTGATGTTAGGTATATGAAAATTATTAAGATTTTGAATATCCCGAGATTTTCTATGGGGCAAAATAATATTTTTAAGATTTTATTAGTGTGATTTAATATATTATAGAATTTGATTAAACCTTATATTGTTAATTTTTATTCTTCTATATTGATATAAAAATATAATATAATATATTTTGTTGATATTTATAAAATATTATATTGTTATATTATAATAAACAGTATTTTTAATTTAAAAGTTATAGGTATTTACTAATTAATTGATTGTATTTTAATTTCTTAATTATTAGGATAAAAAAAAAAGATACATAGATACCCACATAGATATCTATATTGTACTTTTGTTAATAGTTATATGAATTAATTCTTGAAAGTATAAATGATTAAAAAAAAAAAAAAATGGTTATAAATGAATTATTGATTTTCAGGTGATACTTGGTGGGGGTCGCAAAAAGTTTTTTCTTAATGACACAAATCAGAAAGGATCAAGAATGGATATGGATCTCGTAGAATTTTGGAAGAAAGATAAGACGGAACGTTTCGGAAATGATAAATCAGCATACGTTGAAAACAGGGAACAACTATTAAACGTTGACCCTTCTAAGACCGACTATTTATTGGGTAAGCAGATATGAATAATATTTCTTGTTTATTGTAATATATGTATATATAAATGAATTGATGTATTAAATATTTCATGCGCTGTTAATCCAAAACAAATGGAAAAAAGTATTATAAAATATTTTGTAAAGTATTTTTTTTAACCGTTTAAATTTTCTTTTTGTCATCCTTTGACGGGAAGGACTCCGTGTTTTTAGATGTGGGGTGAAGGTGAACAATTTGTCTTCAATTAAAGTCCATCAAGTAAAATAAAAATCAATTTCGTAAAAAAATATGTTATACATGGCATTATGAAGCCTCTTAAAGTTTATAAGTCTTAAAAGTATTAATATTTCATTATTTCGGCCAGAGCTTTTCAAACAGTTCAGCTTGAAATTATAAAAACTAATCAGACATTTTTAAATTCCATACAAATAACCAAAGTGATATGATTTTATGTTAATATTTACTATGATACTTTAATGATACGCATTTCTACATTTTAGGCCTTTTCGAGAGCTCGCATATGAAATATCATTTGAAAGCGGACGCTAGTATACAACCCACTTTGGCAGAAATGACTAGAACAGCTATAGAAATTTTGAAAAAAGAAGAAAATGGATTCTTCCTGTTCGTCGAGGGTGGTCTTATCGATGGTGCCCATCATCAAACCGTTGCCAGGTTAGCACTGGACGAGACGGTGGAGTTCTCTAAAGCCGTCCAACAGGCTGTTGACATGACCAGCGAAGACGACACACTGATTGTCGTCACGTCCGATCACTCACATACCATGACAATGGCAGGTTACCCTGTTAGGGGTAACGATATTTTGAGCCTTTCGGGGTCTCTTGGGATCGACAAATTGCCGTACACTACACTGAGCTACGCCAATGGTCCGCCAAATCAACAGCCCGACGTGAATTGCGCCCGTCAGGATTTGTCCCAAGTCGACACAAGTAATTTTTATAAAATAGTTATCTCCATACACTGGCTAATCGGATAAGACATATCGTAAATCGTCATCGCAGTGTTCGTTACATTATTATCGTAATTATGGTAATATTGTTTTCGTTTCCGAGCCCACTGTCGTCGTCTAAGGCCACGGCCGAGAATGACAATGGGCCTAAATGATATTACTAAAATATTTTGTCATCTTGTACACAAAAACTGCATGGTGACACGCCATTGATATTTTATCATATAATATGCATATGCCATCGACGCACATACATTACATTATGGATAACGCACTAAAACATTTGCGAAATATATTTTGCAAGGCTAATGGCGTGTTTTTTTTACTGCCGAAATAAACGTTACAATAGAATTTTACTTTTACTTTTGAAAGTTTATTCAATACACAGCAAATGGCTGGATTATAGATACGATTACTCGCATGTTGTACTTCTTTGGCATTACGATGGAGTTATATTTTTCGCTGATCAAAATGTTATTTGAAGAAAAATATTCGATAACACATTACACATGCAATATAAATGCTAAGCATAATTATTACTATAAATGTAAATGTAATTCTCCATATAAGTTAATTTATTTCCTGAATTTGTAATAATGAAATTGCTGTTTTTAAATAAAAACTATTTATATAATAATTTTAAAAATGTAGGAACATGCTCAAAATATTTAAAACAATGTACAAAGTATAAAATAACGGTCAATAATAGAATTATTTTCAATCGTGTTTAAAACAAATACTTTTAAGTGTATCGAATATTTCATTTTCAAAAGGATTTAGGTAATACAATTCTAATCTGTTATGGAGAAATTTATGAAACATTCACTAATTAATATGCATTTCGTAGTTGTATAAATGGAAAGTATTAACTTACGAGTTACTAGGTACCATGGTATTATCTAAATATTATATTTTATAAGATGTACCACGAAACAAATAGTAATATATTTTAGGTTAATATTTTATAATTTATCACGCATTAACTATTTTAGATTCTTATTGGAGCGATGAATGTATTGGTTTTAAAGATGCGTTTTGTTTCTGTGCTTCAACTTTTGAGTACAAATTCAGCGAAATCTTTGAATTCAAGAGTTGATACTTCTTCCTAGTAGAAAGATATATCTAATTCGGAATTTTAGTAGGTAATCAACTATAAAAAATACTCAGGAATATTTAATAGGAAAAAACCAGTTTAGCAGAAACGATTTTGTTTGTTTTGATGTTATTCGAAAACGAATAACAGACCACTCAGACCTGTTTTTGTGTACTCGTATTATATGATTTATCATAAATGTCTAATAATTTAATACGTCAACTACTTGAACAACTCATTGAGGGGACCCAGAGAAACTCACAAAACATTATTTCAAACAATAATTTTTACTAAAATAATTTACTCTATACTTGCGTACTCCGAGGTTATATTCGTATATTTACAATTTAATATGAAAATAAAAGCAACATACATTTTTTGATAAAAATAAAGTTGGTTGACAAGTGTTTTTCTTACATTTCAATAGACAGTAGGTATAGCATACATGTATTTCGTATGTTAGTAAATACAATAGGTAACGAAAAAAAATTAACGATTAACAAGTATTATTAACTAATATTATTATTATACCTATTACCTAAGCTATATTATAGTACCGCAGTAATCTTCCGAGAAAACAACGTTTATCGTTGGATTATAGTATCATAAGTACCAGATCTGCAATTGAAAGTAATATTATTTTATGGTTTCAGAGCGGATTAAGAGAGTTTTATCATTTTATTTTATTTAAAATTACAAGTATCATTCAAATTTCAAAATGTATTTTTCGCCTATGTAAGATAATTTTTACAGGGTGATTTATTTATTCAATTAATTTGATACATTTTGTAAGGTACTGTGGAAATTTTAAAATAGTGTTCAGTTCATCACACAATTTTTATTTATTTTTTTGGAAACTCAGTTTGAACTTTGAACGATAATAAATTGCATTTAAATAATTTAAAAATTAAATGAAGAAATGCATATAGTTCATTTTATATAATATCTGAATCTGTTTTCATTTTTTTATGTTTGTTTTCTTAAGTTGTGTACTGAGTCTTAGATAAAATGATTCGACTAATAACCATAGAAAGTTATTTGAGTTGAGACATCGCAAAGCTATTTCACTTACGTCTGGGTTCCTTTGGAGCGTAAATTTAAACGGATGTATTCAAAAACGACTTTATTATTGTTCATATAGGTACGCTGTTCATTCATTTGTATGTTAATAAAAAGTTGTTTAGGTATTCTGTTCGATGTGTCTACTGTATATGATATGTTTCTCTCTTGCAAATGTTATATTATAACTTTCAATTCATAAGAAAGTTTTCCTCTTAAGTTTGTGAATTTTCAACCGGTCTTGCTGTAATGTATGATTTTGTATTTATTTATGGCGTAATATATTTACAGTTTTAGCTTATTGTAATGATTTAAAATGTAAAAAAAAAACTGTAAGTATTAGCTATTTTCAAGTTCAATATACAATTATAAATAGTTGTACACGTTTACATTTACGTATTTATATATACCCGGGGATTCATTTAACCTGAGGTAATCATTATTTCAAAAACTATTAACATTTTAAACTACCTATTGATTATTTATTTTTTTACATAATTTTAAGTCTTTAAAAAAAATGCAATTACTATTTTTTATCATTATTATTGTTTAATAGAAACATATATTGTTGTAAGTATTTAAAATTTATATGAACGAATTACATTAGAACGGAACTTGATTACCTCACTCATAACTAACTAATAAACTAGGAACTTGTCCGAAATTTGATTTTTATATAGGTAGTCATAATATAATATAATATTTATTAGTATATTAATATAGGTAGCCTTCGCCAGAATTATTTTTAGTATGTAATAGTTTATCTTTGAATTCAAATTTAACACTAACTTTAAATCGATGATTTACTCAACAACGAGGTGCACTACTCGACACATACTGTACTTACTTCCCTCCTATCTTTTATGCTAAACATCAAATCATTTATATTGATTTAAAAAATATGACCTTTTATATGGTTAAACTTGTTGAAATTATCAATAGGATTTAATAGTCTATAATTAGACTAAACGCAATATTGCTCAGTAATCTTTTTTTTTTTAAATCTTATTTTCTTCTGAAGAAGACCGCAATATTGTGAAATAGGTATTGTTCAAACACAGTATCACTATGATATGTACATACTTATCAACGTTATAATATTACATAATAATAGTTCTAAAATACATACCTAACACTACAGTTTTAATTAGATCGTCGATGAAAGCAATACTCAAATATAATATTGCAAGGCCCACACGGCGACAGCGACATTTCAATACTATCCTGTGTCATTGACAACGAGCGACAATAAAATGTAAGCTAGTTATATCTCCAAAGTGAAAATTATAAATAATCGAGCTGAACCAAATAAGATGGAATCAAAATTTTAATACAATCTGAACGCAGTTGTTTGAGGAACGATTTTATAATCAGTAATTTGAATAGTAAAAAATTTATTTAGAAATCAATTTGAAGTTATTTGTAGGTTTAGGTAGCTTCGCGGGTCTGTTAAAACCAAAAAGTAAAAATAATTCAAATCGACGTCAAAAGTCAGAGTTTGTAAAATCACTAATAAAAACGTAATTTCTCTCCACCAAATCGGAAACCCGCTCTTGAATTATGATTTCTTTCAAAAATAATATTTACTCCACACCTATAAATGTGATGGGCAGAAAGAAAGTTTTATTTCACATGGTTTTTTCGATATTTATGTATAATATACATAAACTCTAAAGACGTGTATGTTTCACTTGGTTTTTCGAGTTTAAGACTTTTCGCATAAGTCGGAAGAACGATTGTGGTTCTGTTTTACGGATGCAATATTATTGTTGGTGCAAGCAATACTGTAGGTAAAGTGCGCGTATTACTATAAACTCTGAGCTAGGCTATAAAATCATTAATAAATTGATTTTAAAAATTCAAACCCATATTAGTGACACAAAATATTTTGATGATTCTAAATTAAAATCATTTAAAAAAGTAGATCAAAAATCCAAAATCGTTTAAATCAAGAATTTCAAAATTTTAAATTTTAAAATTCTCACCTTAAAAAGTTTTCTTGAATAAACATTTAAAAAAATGAAGTGTTTATAAACGTTTTTTTATTTACGAATGTATACTAATTAATCGATAGTTAATTTGCTCATTATCTTATAGATCATAATAATATTTTACCAATAATCCATCAACATTATACATATATAATAGTATACTACATGCTTACATACATAATATCTTCTAAAAACTTGGAAAAGATAAATAAATAAGTGAAAAGGGTTAGCAATGGCACGCTATAAACTAACAAATTCTGGTTTTTCCTCCAAAAATGATATACTGCATTCCCCTCCTGATATAGTTTTCCTAGATTATCAAAATAATAAATAGTCATCGCCTTATTCATTTCAATAGGTACATATAATTTTCTGGCCAAGGATATTGATCTTTATATTTTTATGTAGGTATGGGCAAGCATAACATATTAATTAAATTAAAACTGTTCAATTTGTTAATTACCTAAATTACCTTAATTAAGTATATATTATACTCAATGATATTTTAATACATTCAAGTTTCGATAACTCGAATCTCAAGGAAAAAAATAGATTCTACTTATATCGATGTTCCTTAAAAACAACTTAAAAACACTTTAAGGGACAAAAAAATGATAGTTATCGAGACGCGACTGGGTCGAGCAAGGATTAAGAGTGTTATATACATACATAAACACTATAACCAATTAATAATATGCGCCATAATTGCATACATATGATAAATAAATTTAATATTAAAAACAAATACTTATGATTCTTATATTGTATTCGAAGAAAGTAGACACGGTTCTAGTTTAAAAAAAAATGTCTGATGAAAATTGGAAAGTTTCTTTTTTTCCCTGGAGGAAAACACATACCAGTATTTTGGAAGAAAACAGTCTCACCTGCAGTGGATGGTTACATTACACACATTTTTTGTTTTTGTATCAATTTAATATTGTTAAAAGCTGCTGACTTTACTCAAAAATCGAAATCAATACCGATTTCAAATGAAATTTTTATTTTGAAAGCCCGTGGAATTGGAAATCATGACCCGCAGCTCTGACTATATAGGTCATGTACTAATACATCGTCGTTTTCAGGTCAATTCCTGGTGTATCCACATCTGGTTCCGATAAAAGACGAAACCCACGGGGGCGACGACGTGATGGTGTTCGCCCGGGGCCCTTGGGCCCACCTGTTTACCGGCAACTACGAACAAAACGTGATACCACTGACGATGGGATTCGCGGCCGGCATCGGACCCGCTGCCGGTGTGGCCAGCGGTCCGGCCCGGCTCACTTCCGCTGGACTTGGCACAGCGGCCGTCTCGTCACCTGTGGCCGTGCTCACCAGCGCCCTGTTGACGACGCTAGTTGTCCTACACGTTTGTTCGTAGACCACACGAGCAGCGACCGTCGTTCGATTACAATTTTTTATAATATTATTCTGTACATTTTTTTTTTTTATATCTATGACATAATACGCGTGTCTCTGCCCGTCACGTAGTTTATTTATTATTATATACATTATACATGTATTCATAAAAAGGATGCGAAAGGAATACATTTTTCAAACATTAAAATATGTGTTCCAACCATACATCCTCACAAGGTTCGTGTTTGTTTTTATATTTTTTTTTCCGCCGGTGAAAACAATTATTTATGTTTATTATTAAACGCCACCTCCGGATTCCACGTGATAGAGTACGGTTTATTTGTTTATTTTTTATGATGTTCCTAATCGATTCGTTATATTGCGTCCGAAATTAACGAGGAACATTGTTTAACCTTTGGCCTTGCTCAAATTCTAAGAGTGCGCGATAACCTTATTGCGCATTGGCCTTTGGGTATAGAATATAATACTACATAATAACAATATTATTATTTTTGAGCCATTATCATTATTAGGTGAGATGGTATTTTAGTAGTGCTTATAATTTATGGTATCAGTAAGTACATTTAAGTGCGTGGGTATAATATTATAATCTCCACAAAAGTATAATAAAACAACATATAATTTGCTACTGAAAACGAAATGGCATAATATTATGTAATACGCGTCACACATTCAATTTTAACTGCAAGAATTTATCTGATAAATTTACTGAGCCCAAGTCAACTATATTTAGTATAAAGCTGCTCTAATACCATTGATTACACGTGTCCGATATAATACCGTCGTGTTCTACCGATAATAAGTGAGCAAGAGACGAGACAGATTGTTTTTTTTATGTCAATGTCTTTATTTGACTTGGGGTGGGAGGGGGGATCAAGGTGTGAAATTTTGCTCCCGTTTGATTATGAAGAAATATTATATTGTGTAAACACTAGAAAATAATTGTCACCATAATGATTAATATTTTTAGTTTAGTATTAATTTATGGACAATGCATCACATATACTCTGTAGTTATGTATAGGTTGCCCAGAGCCAACATTGTTGGAAAGAGATTCCCGTGCAAATTATGGGACCTAAAATGTATTCTATCATTATGCAACAGAATATGAAATCTAAAAAAATAGACTGATGATAATATGTACATGGTTTGAGTACTACACACCGACATAAATGCATAATGTTTATTTATTTACAAACGTGTGACATACTGACATCGATTATTGCTCAGTTAATACAACAGTCAACAATTATTTTAAATAAATAAAAACACTAATTAATATTGTATATTATTATAACATGCAGAAACATCTAGAGATCTATTTCTAATATTATGGTATCCAAATTCATTGTGCAATTAAATGCTATCATTAGTCAGTTAATTTGCCTTCTGTCAATAGTTTATAAGTCTTAATACCGATGCATACAATCGTTTCCCATACCTAGCAGGTAATAATAACGTACTAATTGAGCCCGTGTTTGGGAAATAAGAAGTATACTAATATTGGGTCCACACTTGAGAAAAGTAAAACATAAATATCAACCGTAAACGTATATAATACCGTGGCAATTACGTTATATTGTCCTTATCATTTGTTTGACTTTCATCGGATAAAAACTAAGGTTGTACAGGTAAAAATGAGAAGTAGGTACTCATGTATAATTAATTTCAAAAAAAATGTACCAAATCCAAAGAAAATAAACTAAAGAACAAATACAGGTGTCAAAACAAATAACAAGATTTGAATAACAATATACAACGTTCATCATATGTGCTTATATACATACAGTGGTGGTGAAACAGGGTCGTCCGAGGAAGCAGATACCCCCATGACAGTTTTTGATTATTTGTAATAATATAAATTATAAATTATATATTTAATAATCAATTAGTAGGTACATGCTAAAAAATGCGCTATGTTCCTCCCTCCCCCGTGACGAAATAATTTGACCATCGTTGACAACATAAGACAATAAATTTAATAGTAAGTTATTTTAAGCAACCGCACTGTCCGCACTATACACATTATGTACTAAGACTAACCATTACACACATTAATAAAATGTTTTCAACAATAACATTTTTAAACCATACTTGTAGCGAATTTGTTGTTAAAGACGGTCTGTTCAAATAGAAACGAAGATTTGTATTTTTTATTTCATGGGACTGAATTAATATGTAGCTAAAACAATTAGGGTCTCAATTTGTTTAAAAAGTCTTATTTAGACCCAATTCGTATGAAGCTCTTTACACATTTCTTCTCGGTATACAATCCTAATATGCTTATTATAATGTTATAACTATAATTTTTTAACATTTTATTTTATTATCATTCATTTATTTATAATTTTGTATCTAACCTAACCATTTATTATTTAATAATGTCTAATAAGTATCACTGTTACTATATGCAATATGCAGATCTTGTCGTGTGCGCTCTACCTGCAGCTGATCATCTATAACTATATTTAAACAATACTATTATTTTTTTTTATTGCTCTTAATTACATCGACTGCAAAGGCAATTAGTTACAATTAAATATATATGCATCATAATTATCATCTAAATTTGGTCGAACAGGTCGGTTTTCTTAAAAAGTTGATTATATGTTGTTGATGTTTTCTGTGTTGGAAATTAAAGTCGAGTCTAAGTTGATTGTGATGTTGGGTTTTTTGACGTGTTCTTCGTATTTATGGAATTCAATTATTAAGTGCTTAACTGCTAAGTAGACGCCGCTGGTTGAGCACTGAGGTGGTTCCTCTTTAGCCGTTAGAAACGAGAGGAAACAATATTATATTCTCAGTAAAGTACATCATGTAAAAGTGGTTTTAATTGGCGAAACAAATAGTACTAAATGTTAATATAACTAGGTAGTGTATTGCAAATTAAAAATTACTATTAACAGCTATTTTAATATTATTATAAATATTAGTTTATCATCAACGGCGTTTTCGCGATGTGGCCTAGTGTCGTCGTCGTCTTCTCGTTATTTATTTCTTAAATATGTGTGCTTTTAAATTTAATTGTTTTTATGCATACTAGGAGTTTTACCACACATATTTTTTACAATTATTTGTCTCATAGTCCTTCACAAATTTCCTATCCTTTGAGTATGTGCATTAAATACCATCATTGGAATCAAGTGGTAGAACGCAAAGCATACCGTTATCGCTATTAGATCTGCGGTAGACAGAAGATACATTGTGGAAATACTTAAGGTCGTTCAAATAAAATATAATGAAGCATACTGGGTTTAAACATGAATAAATTGAAGAAAAAAATCAAGTAATAACTATGTGGCTGACGGCTTTTTACGGGAGTGCGACACAATAACGTGGCCGATGGTTCGAGAGTGAGTCGTCATTGGCATTTTTCGAATGTCTCATTGGAGCACCGAACACGATGTTGTATAACATTTTAATAGGTCCATTCAATGGATATTATATTATGCATATGTTCTGAAAACTGTATTATTTTCATTTCCCAAATAACCTTTCCGAGATCTTGGTGTAGTTGCTCGATCAGAAGTGTTCCTCCAGAAAACCGTTATCGCCATTCCAAAGCGATAGGGCTGTTCAATTTTCCTTTTTAATTATTTTTGAACAATTATGTCCCTTTTCTGTGATCGGTCCCCTATCGACTTATATCGGTACTACGCAATCTGAAGCAAAAGCGCGACTCGAATTGTCACAGCGACGGAAATTAGATGCGATGGCGTGGATCGGCCGAAGTGGCGCAAATGTGCAATACAATTATTTTTATAGGTATATCTATTTATTTATCGCGTTCTGTATACTATATTTTGTAAATTACTTTTTTCGATTTCCATCATCGCGATTTCATTGTTGTTCTTTTTCATATTATTGTATAGAATAACGTATGTTCTTATCAGTTATATAACATGAAGGAACTAAATACACGAAATATTGCCAAATTCAATGACTTTTCTAATAAAGTATAATATTTTAAAATTCAATAGTACAAAATATGTACGCATTGATAATTCATGGGATAGAAGTAATATTCAAAAAGTTGTATTAGTGTATCAGTTGTATCAATAGATACATTATACCTCAATGTATAATGAAAAATGGCTTTATTATAGTATTATTCTATTCAGCTAGGTAGGAATTGTATTATTTTCGGTGATATTTTGTGAATGTAAAAATTCACGTCCAATATATAATTAATTTTTTAACTTTTTTAATCCAGTGTTCACTTCCGTTTTTCAATTTTCAATTATTCGTAAATTATAAATTGAACGATCGGATAAACCCGTAAGTATAATGCGCACTACATTAAACGTCAAACGGGATTGCATCACATACGTGTTCATGTGCCATTTTCTGTTATGAAAATATTGTTTTATAAATATTTTCAGTCGTTTAAGTTATAACTAATATTTTAGTATACTATAAAACTATAAAATACAGGGTGATCCATTTAAGTTAAAACCTTCAATATTTCTGAAAAACAAACTTTTGAAAATATTTTTTTTACTTCATTTTAAGTCATTACGAAACAATATTTTTGGAAATAAACTATATTTTTGTTATTATTTTTTGAAGGTTTTTACTCAATTGAATGAAAATATTAATTTATAATTTTATTCCTAAGCAGAATATTATTTGAATTATTTCGATTTAGAAAGATCAAATTTTGGAGAAGTAGTTTATTAGTTTGGTACAACTATTTAAAGTATAGACGAGCGAAATTTTAGTGCACCAATATTTTGCAGAGTAACTCCCCCACTCCTCTCCGCTAATTATAACATTAAAATTTAAATACTTATAAATATATTATAAATTTGTCCAAAATTCAATTTGTATGCATCAAATGTCTACAAAAAATATTTTGCTTAGGAACAATGAACTAAAAATTCAAGTCGTCATTAATAAATCGAAAATTTACTCGATAAAAATGCAAAGAGCAAGCGATGAAATCAGATAGGTTCGGCAAAGATATATTATGCAGGCCGAAGGATTATTATTGTATATTTTGTTAGATAGGTAATCAAAAATGGTTCAACCTCAGGTTAAGTTACCCCGTACTTAAATGATGGAACTCCGTGATAAGACAGAACGAATGAAAGATGACACACGTGTGAAACACCATTACAAGATCATAATAATGTGTTATACACAATTTGAATGACTTTTGTGAATGTTGTACAAATGAAAATGTTTACAGTTTAACATCAGTTAGATTTAAAAATTATATGAGAATATTATGTAAAAAACGTGTCATTATAGTTTTAAAAATTAATATCTGTTCTAGTTTTGACAAGAAAAAAACGTCCATAATGACAGATGGAAATTAATTATTGTATAAGTATAGTAGAAATGAATTGATGTGGCATCACATGAACTATGTAGTTTAGTCGTATTAGCCGATAGGTTCTACAAAAACGATGCACAAAAACATAAAAAATGCAAATGGGACATACGACTTTATGTGTATTAACCGTATCGGTTTGTTAACCGATGACGTACCTACTAAACGATTTCTAGTGTATGTTAATTATAATTTATGACCGTATACAAACTTTTTTATAATTATTCTCAAGTGTCGATCTAGAAGGAAAAAAAATAATTGGTAAACCTAAGGCTCAATTTCTGTATGACAAGCAAGCATTTCAGATTACCTAATGTTCACTATTTTCTTTGGTGGCGGTGAAGGGATTGATTTGGATTAAACACTTACCTAAATACCAATAATTCTCGATGTTTAAAACGTGATCATCGATATGGGTTTTTATTAACGCACGTTTCCCCGCCCATTGATCTCTATACACATTGCGACATAAATATCAATAATAATAATAATTCATTATACGGCACCTTAATAAATTGTAACAGAGATTAAAAAACAAAGATGAACATTAATATCGTGGGTCTTATCCGCCTTACGTGGATCAATATAGCGATTTAAACTCAAAATGTAACACTTGTGCGCCAAAGCCTACTACAATTTTATGACGGTTACATGTTGAAAGCCCACCGAGATAAAATAGTTTACAAACATAAAATATCTTATTGCCGTGCCGCTTTGTATTTAAGTACGCCGATCCACTCGTCGGTGATACATTCCGCCGGAAACGGTTCTACCTTCGTTTTCATCGTTGTCTCCATCTCCGGGGCTGAGTACCGCCCACCAAAACTAAATAAGTTTGGCGACACGTCCGTCAACCACCCATCAATCATGCGGACATTCGTCGTGTGTGCTGTTTTGGCCTGCGCGCTACAACAGGTGTCTGCAGCCACCGCCGCCGAGGAGTCAGGTACGCTCGTAGTTATTTATTTGATTTTGTTCACCTCGAGTTTAGTAACAAATATTATATTTTTTATTGTATTTGATAATAATATAATATAATGGTTCACAGTTTCTCGTGGGTACCGTAGTTTTCCGCTATAGTCATTAAATTGGATAGTTTTACTTTTTCAAAGTTTTGGTCGTCGATAATAAAAACACTAGTTGTGTGGTCTTTTCTTTTAAAAAAAGATTTATTCCGGGTAGAAGAATAAAATAAAATATATTCTTATTTGTTAGTTTTTGATAACGTAATATAGGTAACATTTTATCAATACTTTTGTTACTGATGCTTAGTAGTTAGTGGTAGGTATCTTTTTTACTCTAAAACAATACGATTTTAGACGTAGGTAGGTAGAAAAACGGTTTACGAAATGTGGGTTATAATATGTAATATTAACGTTTATTTTTCATTTTACATCTTACATATATGTAAATATATACACAGTATTACTGACTATGGTGTATTCATTTGTTTGACTAATGAGATAAAAAGTTCCCATAATTCTCTCTATATATTTATAACATATTTTACGAGATTGTACCACGCTTTGAATTATATTGCGTTATTTACGTATGTGAATAAATAGATACCCTCACTTTTAATACAATAGTTCTTTATTATGTTATAATATATCTCAGGCTTAGGTACATACGATTTACACATGTCAGAATGGGTTTTTTACAGATATTAATACCTAATTAAAAAATTATCACCACTTTTGATTTATGTAATATAATATATATTACAATATCTAGACAATATACAGTTTAATTCATTCTATTTTGAACTTAGAACTAAGTATTATGAGTCAAATCGACCTAATAAAATTCGGTCAATTCAAATCATGTGCTAATAATAGGTGTATTATAAAAAAAATACATTTTGTACTGCGCATAAGAATAAAGCCTAGCACAGTAAATGTTAAGAATTTGAAAATTTCACAAAATATATCAATCAGTACCTTCTAGGTTCCCTCCCAAAATTAATTTCAATACAAGTTCATCCAGCCGAAATACTTAGTGTTACCTTAAATCATGATCACACTGTACACAATCAATATTTATGTATAACAAGCCGTGTGTAAAGTATAAAAAAATAATAAAACTAATCTTGCAACTTAAAAATACAAAAACGAGATGAAGAAATAGATTAATAATGACAGACTATTATAATATTTGGTAACCACTTTAGGTACCACTTATTTGACTTAATTTTTTAATGAAACCAATGGATGCTTTTCTGGATTGAATCGAAATGTTTTAGGGTTTGCTGTTTCCGTAATGTATTGTATCATTTGGAGCAGAGGTGTTGATGTCTGGACGAAATGTTTTAGATAATAGATTGGCAGCAAATAATTTAATTTGCCTATTGGTTATTTTGAGGGATTCCATAATTCGACATTAGATTGGCACGAGGAGGAGTTTAAATTGTATAATTATATTAAATGACTTTCGATTTTAAATGGATGTTAAATTAATTCATTATAATATTATTAATTTTTGAGTTTTAATAATATTACATAATAATATTATTATCTTTTTCTTTCTAATAGTTATAACTTATAAACACATATTTTAATATGAATGGTGATTTTTGAGTGAGTATAAGATATTTTTCATGCTATAAGAAAGTGGTTTAACATTTTATTTTTAATCACGACAATAATAAATTATGCATTTTTTAAAATAAGTGCTAACTAAAATCCTACTTCGTTAAAATATATTTTGTTAACGTCATGTTTTTCTCTTGTAAGAAAATACACGAAATTATAATTAATAGCTGACCTTATACACTTGTTATATTATTACATGTCATTACGGCAGGCGTTTGCTTATTGTTTTAAATTTTATTTTCCCATAAAAAACTTGACAAATATTTGTGACGACATGTAATTGCATATACCAATATTACTAGGCACTTATTGTAATTAGTTCTTTAAAATAATAACTATTGTGAAGTATCACTAATATGTAATTATAATAGAAAAATGTTATAAAAATTAAAATGAATTATAAATATATGTGGTACCTTTTTTATATTATATTTGCTTAAGATATACATATCAATATAAAAATTCACTAGATTTATCGACATTTGGGACCTGCGAATTCTGAAGTAGACTTTTTGCGATGTTATCTAATACCGTTCGGAAGATGTTTGTTCTAACACTATTGTTCTTAATATCATACAGTAATTATACACATAAATCATGCATGTCAGTTGTTGTCAACGACTGTCTATTTAACAAAACAAAATTATTCAAATGAGAACTCGTGTCGTAATAAGCAGTGTTTCGATATTGAGAAATCGGAAAATTTTCTCAACGCACAAGTTTTTATATGACAGAATCATTTACTAAAATATGTAGTTGTTGTTTAATAATTCATCGTGCTGAAATAGTGAAATGGTAAATATTTTAGATGTACCATAATACGAATCCATTAAAGTAGGTATACCGAGTTATATAGTACTATAAATGTGTAAATAAGTACTTCCGCAATAAAATGTTTCTGTTTATTTAGTTTAGTCAGATTTATATACGTACCCACAATTACAATTGCGTGTACATAATTACTACTAAAAGTATTGCCATCGATAAGATAAATTAATTCTGGTTACGAATACATGACGTACAGTGTACATAATCGATTTTAATTTTTTGTAAATCTATAAAAAATATATTGTATATGATTAGAGCCTGTAATAAATATCAGAAAAGAAACCAAAAAAACCAAAAAAGCCCTAAAAATTGCTTTTAAACATAATTCCCTTAAAAAATGATATACATTTTTTTTATTCGCACTAAACTAACCGAAAAATCACAGTTGAACTTTTGGAATTGTTAAAACTTCTTTATGTTGATTAAATCTAACAATAATTCAAAAACAAAAATTAGGCACGCATATCAATGAATAGTACATTTACTTACTGAAAATAAATGCGATCGCGGTGTACCTTTGGTACGAATTAAACTTAACAGATCGACATGAAATTTTGTATACTTAATTTGTACATATATTGGAATCAATTTAGGGGGTAAGACTGTAAAAAATAATTTACTGAAAAATCTTCAATATGATGTAGGGCCACCCTATTCACCAAATGAGCTATTAGTTATTATTTGTTTTAGTCCCACTCACTAAGTGTAAGACAGCACCACATACGATTGGTAATCGCTGGAGTTAGATAAAGACCAAATTGTTGATAATTTATGATTGGTATATTATTATATTTGGTATGGTCAAAACATATTTCAAAACTATTTAAACAAATATTATGAAAACAAAATTGTCAATCTCCTTATTTACACTAAAAGCTCGTACAGTGTATTGTAGTTTATAATATTATGCTATCATGCACTAAAAATGAAAAATAAAAAAATCACCTTTGAAGAATCTGTTACTAGAAACAAATCATGTACTCAGAGTGCAATGCCCTATAATATTATTTAGAGCATCCAAAAAAAGAATGCATTGAAATCCGGCCCCTATACATAACGTACCATCGTATATTCCTATCATCTGCAATGTTTTTAGAACGTAAGAACCTAAGTGCTTCGTTTTCAATGTTTTTTAATTTTCACGTGGTGAGTCTCATATTGTGATTTGTGATTAATTGTGTTAGTTCAAGGCCACATTATTACATACTATAGTAAACACACCGCTGTGACCAAAATATAATGACAATTATTATTAACATTCACGATTAAAAAGAATAGGTAACAAAAGTAATAGTTTGAATGTTACATACTTATCATGCATTCTTTTATATTTCTATACAAACCACCAGAAAAATAGATATAATATTTCTGATTACTGATATCGTATATGCCAAATTATTTTATATAGCTTGTAAAATGTAGTCATACAATATGTTATAACACCTAATACTCATAGTTCCAAGAGTTTTATTAACTTACAATTAGTTATGAAAGTCTTTTATAACCATTTTCTATAATTTTTATAGCATTTATCTTTATCTTTAATGATTATGCAATAATGTCTTACTTCAGACACATAAAGGATTAGAAATCAAAAACTTTTATTACTTATTTAATTTTTTATTAATCACAGAATCACATATTTAAAATTATAAATAAATTATAAGTATATATATTATAATATACAAAAAAATTGATTCAAAAATAATAATTATTATTCGTTTATTACTATCGTAATCATCAACTAATATAAATAAGTGAAAAATTAGTTGTCATAATAATCATGGGGATTACCTGGTCTAATATGTGATCTACTGTTGAATATTTGGTTTAATGATTTCGAACTAAAAAAAAAAATTAATAATTCATATTAAACTGTTTTTTAGGTTTCTAAACACGTTATGTACCACTTTGTGTCCACTCGTCCACTCGTTATTTATCAGTCCACAGTAGTTATGCTTGTTGTTATTAAAGTAATATCCGTAGTTTCTATACAAAGGTACATTGTACATGAAATTCTAAAAAATTCTTAGAATATAAAAATAGGTAGCAAATTATAAAATTTGGCAAATAATTATTTTTAAATTGTATAGATATAGAATGAACTCTTATCGCGTTGTTTAAAATACGTTTATAAACCAGGAATTTAGCCCTTTCGTTTCTCACTCTTTGTTTTTTTTAAATAATTCTAACAAAAAAATTAAATAATAGACAAACACCATAAAAAATATTAGGAACAGCAATATTTAAATGAATCTATAATCCGTTTTACAGTGAGAACTTTTGAGTTTTGAGCGATGCAAAAACAGAAACTAATGATGGAAATAGCTAAAAAACTAAAATAAACTATCTATTTGAGTGTTTTATAATGTTTACAACCATTCAAATTTTTAATTTTTGGATTACCTATTTAAAGAAAAAGACTTACATCAGAATAATATTCATAATTTTGTTTGAGTAAAGAACATGACAGTTATTTTATAACAAATAACATTCAAATACATACATCTAAATTTAATCTAAGTAACAGTTCTAAAAAACAAATTAGTTGCCTCTAGTAGTCTAGTGTGACTACTGACTAGGTAACAGCCAATCACAATAGGAACTAAAATTAATTTATATACTTAAAATAAAATTAAAAATATAATAAATAATAATACTTCAATTTAGTGATGATCTTGTCAAACATACCAAAAACAAAAAATTTAAAAAAATTAAAAAAAATATATTTTTTAATATTTCATTGAAAGATTTCAAGGAGGCTGAAAGTTTCAAGTTTGAAATATTTCAAAGTGAAAATTTCATGTGAAATATTTCATACTCATAACCCTTATTATGATGAGTGACAGCTTTGGTTACAATATAGCAAAAAAACTGTATGTGAACATAATAATATTTGAGACTAGATTTTAGAATAATATAAATTCACCATATTCATTAAGAGGTCGTGATACCCGCATGTGTTTTCTCCGTCTTACAAGTGCGTAACATAGCAAATTGTACACTCAGCAGAACACGTGTAGCTCCGTTAATTTAAAAACTAAAGTGAATTGACCTCTTATAAAATCTAAAGGTAAGATTATTATCTAGGCAACCTCACAGGCTTTTTATTATCTTTTTATTTTAAAGCGAGTTATAAGTATTTTAAGGTGTATAAAAAATGTACAACTTTAAAATACTCATAATTCGCGTTAAAATTAAAATATAATAAAAAACCTATGAGGTTGCCTAGATAATAATCTTACCTTTAGATTGTATAAGAGGTCAATTCGCACTAATTTTTAAACTAACGGAGTTACACGTGTTCTGCTGAGCGTGAAATTTTCTATGTTACGCACTTGTAAGACAGAGACAACACATGCAGGTTGCAGGTATCACGTCCTCTTAATTCTAAATGCACAACGTGTAAAATAATATTATGAAAATTAAATTCTTTGTCAGATCCTAAGTTCTGGATTGATAATGGAAAACGGAAGTTGGAGGAAAAGTCAAAACAACCATTGCGAACGAATAAAGCGAAGAATGTGATAATGTTTTTGGGAGATGGTATGTCATTGCCAACATTGACGGCTGCTCGGGTGTACAAAGGTCAGTTGCAGAACGTGTCTGGCGAAAGCGAACACCTGAGCTTCGAACAGTTTCCGTTCACCGGAATATCAAAGGTAAGAATATGATAAAAAACAACTGTTATCATGTTACTCGTCGTACATGTCCGTTGTATTTCGTGCTTACCGAATCTGTTTCATCTACACGAATAGACGTATTGCGTTGACAGACAAGTGGCCGATTCAGCATGTTCGGCCACGGCATACTTGCGCGGCGTCAAGGCAAACACGGCCACGATTGGTGTGACGTCTAAAGTACTCTTAGGAGATTGTCCGGCATCGGTCCTAGAAGAGCACCAAGTGACTTCCATAATGCAATGGGCGCAGTGGGCTGGGAAAGCGACCGGCTTAGTGACCACGACCCGGGTAACACACGCGTCTCCAGCAGGTTGTTACGCAAACACCGCACACCGTGATTGGGAATCTGACGAAGATATGATAAATATTTCCAATGGAACAACGGACATTACACAGTGTGAAGACATAGCTAGACAACTGGTTACAAGAGATCCCGGTAGAAATCTCAAGGTGTGATAATCTGATTATAAACTTCCAGCAGCCAAATATGTCATACATTTTTGTCTTTTCGTAGGTGATCATGGGCGGTGGCCGCAATAATTTTATGAAGCAAGCAGTCAATTCAACGGGAAAACGCCGTGACGAAGACTTAATCCAAAAGTGGAAAAGTGACAAGGAGACTAGGTTTGCTGATAAAATAGCCAAGTACGTGACGACCAGACAGGAACTATTGGAAACGGACATGTCTAAAACCGATTTTGTGTTAGGTAAGAACAAATTATTTAATATGGGAATTGGCCTCAAATCTCTAGAGTCCTAAAAATATATTTTAAAGTAACTAGGTGATCCCATGCACTTCGTTGCTCGTTAAAAATGCCAACTCCATATGTAACTCGCTTTTGATAATACAAGCAGTATAGTATCAGGTAGGTAATCCACCTGAGGTGGATTGCGGACCTCGCTAGGTGAATACTCTATAATATCTTTTATTTTGATTATGGACACGTCGATGAGAGGCCATAAGTGCAACTCAGCCATCTTGGTTGGTAATTCGCATACATTTTATTTGATGCATGTTTATATATCTGATCTGCCCGATAACCAATGGCAACCAAAAAACGAAAAAATATACTAATTTCTACTAAAAAATTAAGAATACATTGTCGAATTTTATTTCTCGGAACAATTAATATCTAAACCCCGAACAAACACATAATTGGATGGACAAAAAGATCAAGTTGTAGGTAGCCGGAAACCTGTTGGCGTCGAGCCTTACAATCTATCAATGTATATAAAAGAAAGTCTTGTTGGTTTCACTATTTATAACTCAAGAACGGCTGAATCGATTTGGGCAAAACGTATCATATGTCCATCTTCTGGTTCTAAGCTACCTCCCCACCAATTTTAGAGAATATCGGTTCAGCCGTTCTTGAGTTGTAAATGTGTAACTAACACGACTTTTTTTATATGTATAATTTGTATTGTTACAGCAAGTAAGCTGCAATATGTTTTATATTAAAATAAGTGTCTTAGATCCCAAACAAAAAACTGATTTTACGTTATTTGGGTGACCATTATTAACGAACCTTTGACAGAAATAAATAAAATAAAATAATTTTTCTTTTTTTATTGGCTTCTAGTGTAACTATTACAGCTCAACAATTATTCAATATACATATGTATATATATATACATACCTATATATATATAGGTACATAAGATAAATAGAATACCTACATATTAATTTTTAATACAACATTTTTTTTTGTAGAAGTGGCTATTTTAGAGCCTGAGGTGTATCTGCCTAATTTTTGCGTCCTAATTTGTGCGATTGGTCCAATTATTGATAAACATATTTTGGTAGCAATAAAAAGATCATGCTCCAATATAAATACAATATACATAATCAATATAACCTTGGATATTTTTAATTTGTATTGCAATTAATTGTTAATCGGTCACATCATATTAATTACTGCGTATTACTAAGCATACATCATTACAAGAGTAATACAGTTATACAATTTACTTTACGCAATCTACACAGAAATACAGAATAGATATACTTCAATATTCAGATGCTAATAATATTTAATATTTTTTCATATAGTAAAAAAAGTTTACTGTTGTTAACACATATAAATACTATTAATCAGTGATTACTGTTTTGAGCTATTGCAAAGACAAAGTTTTTTTTTTCAATTTTGTTCAAAATATTCGTTAGAATTTTCGTATTTGACCAGAATCTCACTGTTCATTGTTTTCAGGTCTTTTCCATCCGGAACACATGGAATACAGGTTAAAATCAGATGTCGAGACACAGCCCACGTTACAGGAAATGACCAGGAACGCTATTCAGTTGCTTCAGAAAGAACCGAACGGTTACGTTCTTTTCGTAGAAGGTGGCCTCATCGACATGGCACATCACCACACGTGGGCAAAAATCGCGCTCGACGAGACCGTAGAGCTTTCCAAAGCTGTGGCGGACGCTGTGGCGATGACTAGTGAAGATGACACATTAATCGTGGTTACTTCAGATCACGCTCACACCATGTCGATGTCTGGTTACCCTAAGCGAAACGAGAACATTCTAGGTGTATCGGGATCAATGTCTTCGGACAACACGTCGTACACAACACTGAGCTACGCCAACGGTCCAAAAACGTCCTTCGAGTATGACAATAACACGTCGTGTCACAGAGTCAACATAACGAACGAAGATATTCAAAGTAAATATACTAATGCAATTTAACTCATTTCTAATCACGAATTCCGTCAATATTGATGATGATAGATATTTATAATATTTCGGGTCTAAAATCGTACGATACATGATGGGCTAAAAATAACACAATGATTATAATCAATAATTGGTGCATCATAACATCACGCTTACCGATATATTACGTACAATATTCTAATTTTAGTTGTTTTTTTTTTCTAGAAAAAGTCGACTTTGAATATCCAAGTCTGGTCGATATACCCAACGAGACTCACGGAGGAGATGATGTTATGGTATTTGCTAGGGGTCCTATGTCACATTTATTCACCGGAAACTACGAACAAAATTTAATTGCTCTTGGTATGGCAATGGCTGCTGACATTTCCACGAGTCCCCCAACCTCTGACTCTGCCAGTGGCGCCATTGCATCATTTAATGTTGCTGGACAAACTATTCTCGCAGTATTATTATTGGTCTTCGTTGGAGTTATTCAGTCTAACTTATAATCTCAAAAAAAAAAAAAAATACGTCGATATTATTATAACTGATTTTTATTTGTAAGTCATAAATATTATTTACATTAAATATATATAAATTATACTATTATATAAGTAAGTAACGGGTCTTATCTTTGTTGGTTTCAAATCACTACCTATTTTTTTTTAACTGCCACCATATAATTTTATAATATTACGATTTTTTCTAAAAAGAAACTCAATATATTTGGCTTAAAATATCACCTTAAAAATATTTAAAGAGACTTACTGGAAACAAGCGGATTTCAAGTCAACTTAATTCCTGGTAAGTTCATAGTTATACATACGATTTTAATTAACAATGAACAGTTTTTACTACAATTTAAATTATATGAGAGTAGTAGAAAAAACTTCGTGAGTGCATTTATACATTAAGAATAAAATTAGAAAATAATATTATTGTAGTTCATTTAAAAAATGAAATATTCAAGACATATACCTGGGTGACGATTCTAAAATTAATTGTTGTGTTAAATTGTATTTATGTTTACAGGCTACATACTTTCTTTAAATTACAAATATAAAATATGATAATTTAAATGTTTTTAAAACATGTATCATATTGTTCGTTTTTTATCAGTTTACTGTATTCACACTATGAAATGAGTGGTAGAATTCCTCTTATTTGTAAAATTTCATGAAATTTGATTGGCTACATTTATAGTACCTAGTTTTTATAATTAAGATTTCATTTTTGTCAATAGTTATGATTTACATCAGTTAGTAGCTGTAAAACCAGACTTCGTCCTAGAAAAAATAAACAAAAAAAAATGCTGTGCTATATTGGAGTGTATCTTAGTAGTTTTGGTGTAAATCAGTTCACAGGAAAATTGGAGTGAGTAACTTTTTTACGAACTTATTCCACCTATATGGGTAATCTACCCATACAGAATTATCCAATAGCACTATTTATATGTTTAAATGTGGTTTGAGTAATACTCTAAACATACCATGCTTATACCTCTGAGAATGATTAGTTTTTGAGTCTGTAATTTACAAATGTACGGAAATCGCCTTTTAAATATATAGATGATAGAAAAGTGTGTTTCTATTTTTTTTTCGTCTATTTCTAGTTGCAATTAGTTATTTAACAACTAATTTATTTTCTGTAACCAAAGGCAGCTGTATACTTTATAAACAAAAAACTATTCGATTTTCATTAGCCAAAATGAAATTTACTTGTGAATCACTTATGGAAACACATAGGGGTCGAAAAACGAAACTATGAAAACTCCCGATCTTCCGAGAAAGAATCTTTCAAAATTTGGTACTGATTGTTCAGTATTTCACAAGTTTATTAGCTCCCTACAACATACATTAATTTTGATATAATATATAAATACATGTAGTACCTATCTATGCATAATATTTTAATAAGAAATATATTTATTGTTGCGTGTTGTATAATAACATAATATGTTATAAAAAAGTATAAATATGTAGCCGAATATAGTGACGTTAGTTGGTTGAAGTACTGAGTTGTATTTTATAAACGTAAACAACCACCGTCCGGAGTACTTAATTTACGCAACAGGTATTAACTTCAGTGGAAACAGCTACTTCCGACCACCGATCAATGGTGAATAGTTAATTTCTATCCTTATGGCCCTATGTCGGTTTGTTCATTGGCATTTCCGATAACTCCTAATAATGAATGTACGTTCGTGAATTGTAAACATGTTTAATGGTTAATCGGTTTGAATTTTAATAGCCTAATCCGTACTAAAATTATAAGTTTCAATATTAATAGTTTTTTTCTGTAATTCTTTTGAATTTTACTAAATAATAAATATATATATATATATGTAACAATACTAATGTTATGATATTGAAATATTAATAAATCGTGTATTTTAAACACAACGTATTACATATTTTAACTTAGTTATTTTTCGTCTGCATATATAGGGTTCTATAATGACTAATTTTAGGAACGTGTTCTAAATTATTGACGAAAAAACAAAATTGTATTGTGAATAGGAACATGATTCAATAATGTTATATAAAATGTCAGTAAATGGTCGGAACTTTTTAGAAATCGTGCACTGCACTGTGAAGGTGTAAACTATTTATTTCACAATGCAAAATATGTTAGATCTGAATAATTCATCCTAGGCAGGTATCGAGGCGTTTGAATTTGTTCGTCATTTAATAAACGTTAAAAACGTGTGCTGCAAACTTAGCGTAAACAGTCTGTGTAATCGTTTTTCTTTTTCTTCGCATTTTCTTCGACGGCACTGACGTTCTAGTAACTCACAACTTTATGTGTATCCCTTATAACACCTAATAACTCAGTCGCCCGTTAAACTATACGTTTTTCGGTTTTCCACTAGAGTTTTCTGCGCGGAAACCGTTCTTCGATTACGTCTTTCTATGTCTTCTCCTGGTCTGGATAACTTTATTTTGATTATTAGTTTATAGATATAGCGGTCTAATAAATATTTGCACGTAAGTGGTCTCTGTACCTGACAGCTTAATTTTCATATCGCGTTGTAAACGTGTGTGCATACTTATTATTATAATACTTCGTATGCGACGCACACAAATACGTAATCTTTAAACTACCCATAAACGAACAAACTAAAATCTTTCGGATGACAGTTAAACAGCTCTCAAATTCAAAATTGAATATTATATTTTTCACGAAGACCGCACGTCGTTGGAAAATGGTGTTATATAAGACATTTAATTCAGTCTAATATCGGGTTGTTCAATTTTAATCGATTTTATATTGAAAATCAAATACAATTTTTAAATCGAAATTAGTATACCCCCCACAATGACAACACTAGAGGTGCTCTTACAGTCACATTAATCACAGCAGTTTTTTACGAGTGCCTGGGAAAAAATTCGTCAGTCACAATATTATGTAAATTGCCATAATCCAGCGTGTCAGATAAGATAACAATATTATCTTTTGAGTAAATTCGTTGTTGAATAATAATAATCCAAATGCAAGGACGTCGTGCACACATTATTCGTTAGTAGTTTAATTTATTTTTGAAATAAAAATCATTAAGTCGTCACGAATAATTAACGGCGTAAGTTAAAACTATACAATTAACATGGGCAAATAAATAAACATTAACAATAAAGCAATTTAATACAATTAAATGGCGCGTAAAATATAGTATTAGGACGCTTATATTAATATGTTCTATGGTAACGTTTATCGGTGCAATCGTAATAATTATTATCAATAAGGTCAGACCCAATGTTATTTTATATAAAAAAATGTATTTTTTCTCTTAAAAATATATTTAAAATGTAATAGTAGGTACATACAATAAATATGGTTGTTCTTAAATAAAGATTAAAATAATTGAACATTTTTTGAAAAATTTTTAAATCTTTTGAAATTCAGATTTTTACGAAAAAAATCACGAGCATTTACAAATAATCTTATAGTTAAAAATTCATAACATTTTCAATATTTGAAAGCTTAAGGAATTTTCTTTTTAAAACTAGGTTGTACAAAAGTTGTCATTAAAGAGATAATTAGATTACCAATTTTTTTTTAAGTTTAACGAACTTAACGTAATCTATTAAAATAATATATAATGATTTTTCTTCTAGCGATTTTAGTAATTTTGAATACTACACTTATTTTTATTTTTAATACACATTAACCGTTTAAAAAATGTTCTATTTTATACTTACCTATATACTGTACAAAATACATATTATAAACCATCCTTAGAAATAAAGTGTAACGTACACTCTACACTCAGAATTGTTTTTCATACCTATTGAATTCAAATGTAACACATCCATTACAGTGATATACTAGATGATGAGGTACTTACAATACATAGCGCAGAGCGAGTTCTCTACTTCTCTGATTTTTACTTTTATGTAGAATATTTATGTCGTCCGCTATAGTGCTATTAGATAAAAAATATCCAATGAAGTTTACGCTCAATTTTTAGTGTGATGTGATACTATTATAATGCTTTAAGAATATGACTATAAATTCGACTATATTTTGAATATTCTAAAATAGTTGATAAATGATCTGGCTTAAACGCTCATACTTATTATAACTATGATGTATTTTTGAATTCTATTTGTTTATGCTTGAAATTTGAATCAGTATGTATAATATTTATATCTAGACCTATCTATTAAATTTTAATTTGGTAAAAAAAATTAATTAAATACAAAACAAATTATTGCGTACATAAATAATTATTTATAAATATTAATTACAAGCAATTATTTGTATATATTCTTATAAGAACTGTAGTGTCTTGTGTCTAGGCAAGAAATCAAAATTAAAATCAAATAAATATGGTATTAAAGCGGGCGCTCAGTTTTTGAAGTGATGTGATAAAATTAATATCACATAACGAATAATAATATCCATAATACTAAAAAGTTTACTACTTTTGATAGAGACGGTGGCGGGATAATCTGGCTTAAACATTCACACCTATTCACTCTTGACGTAAAAAACGTGATTATTGATACCGTTTAGGATTTACGTTTCCCTACCCATTGCTTTTTCAAGTATCGATAATATATTACTGTTATTTTAACCTCGTCTGTTGTGGGTGTACCAGAGATTAAAACAAAATTAATAAACCAAGTATTAACTCTTTATCCACATTACGCTCATCAACAATCATAATTCATAATGATTAAAACTAAAATGTAGTACTGGTATGCCAAAGCCTGTATGTATACGCAACTTTTTAATTTAATGACGACTATACCTATATTTTCAAAGGTATGCCAAGATAAAATAATTCACAAACAAATAATATCTTAATGCCATGCTTCTGAGTATATATATATATAAGTACACCTATCGATTAGTCAGTGAAACATTGAGGTAAAAACGATTTTACCTCCATCTACTTCTTTTGTGCTTAGGTCTTCGAAACCGAGAGCTAAAATCTACCATAAGGTATATAAGTTTTTTGACTCGTCCGTCAAAAAATCAATCATGTGGACATTCGTCGTGTGCTTTTTGGTCTGTGCGCTACAGGTATCCGCAGCCACCATCGCTCAGGAGTCAGGTACACTCTTAGCTGTCTAAAAGATTTATAGAATATTTACTATATTACAAGATTCACATAATATTATACTACTATTTGTTTGATTTATTCTTCAACTGGATAATGGGCAACATTGAACATGTAATACAACCATTAAGGATAAATTATAATATAATTCGTGATGTTTATGTTATGCAGGATGTGGGGAAACTAAATATTATAATATTATATGCACATTGTATAATGTTAATTTGGTTGAATGGATGATATTATAGCAAAATATTTAAATAAACATTTTAAGGTTTTTTACATTACTGAAGTAAATTTTTATGTTACTGTCAATTAAAACGTAAACTTTTTAGTTTGAATAAGGAACACTTTGCTATTATTTTATTTCATTTCATTAAAATCATAATATACATTTGAATTTGTTTTGACAGTCAGTGATATTATTATAAAGAGTAATACTTGTACAAAACAATATTCCAGACAAGGGGACAATTGTTTTTATTGTGTTATAAATATTATATTTATATATTTGTGTGTTCTAATAATAAGAGGACACTACACATTTACTTGCGTTCTTTCTATTTTACATACTACTAGCATAGCAAATTGTACGTTCTGAAATCTATTTCACTCAATTGTACTTAATATAAAAGCGAATTGACCTATAGTATTATCAAATTTAAAAATAACGATATTATCTAGTGAATCTAATACGGGTTTTTTATATTTCAGTTTTAAAGCAAGTTATGAGTATTTTAGATTGCACAAAAATATACAATTTTAAAACACTCAAAACTTGCTTTAAAATATTCGCTCTTATAATAAACGTAGCTGAGTTAACAGATTATTCAGAACGTAAAATGCCCTATGATATGCGTTTGTAAGGTAGAAACGACACATGCAGGTGTATCGTCCACTTAAAAAAAAAACAACTCAAATTCCTTAATTATAAATAAGCTTTGCCTTTATAGTAATATTATAAAAATGAAATTATTTGTCAGATCCAAAATACTGGATTGAAAATGGAAAACGAACGTTGGAGGAAAAGTCAAAACAAACATTACGAACGAACACGGCAAAGAACGTGATACTATTTTTGGGAGATGGTATGTCATTGGCCACATTGACTGCCACTCGGATATTCAAGGGTCAGTTGCAGAACGTGTCTGGCGAAAGCGAACACCTGAGCTTTGAACGGTTTCCGTTCACCGGAATATCAAAAGTAATAATTTGATAAAAAAAACAACTATTATTAGAGTACACGTCGTATAGATCCTTTATTTGACGTTTACCAAATCGGTTTCATCCACATGAATAGACGTATTGCGTTGACAGTCAAGTGGCCGATTCGGCATGTTCGGCCACGGCATACTTGTGCGGCGTGAAGGCGAACAAAGGTACGATTGGTGTGACGTCTAAAGTATCCAAGGGAGATTGTCCGGCTTCGGTCTTAGAAGAACACCAAGTGACTTCCATAATGCAATGGGCACAGTGGGCTGGGAAGGCGACCGGCTTCGTGACCACCACCCGGGTTACTGACGCATCCCCAACCGGTTGTTTCGCGAGCATCGCACACCGAGAATGGGAATCTGACCAAGATATGATAGATGTTTCCAATGGAACAACGGACATTACACAGTGTGAAGACATAGCTAAACAGTTGATAACAAAAGATCCCGGTAGAAATTTCAAGGTTCGATAATCTGATAATAAGCTTCTAGCAGCAAATATGTTTTGTATTTTTTGTCTTTTCGTAGGTTATCATGGGCGGTGGTCGCAATAATTTTATGATGCAAGCAGCCAATTCTACGGGAAAACGCCGTGACGAAGACTTAATCCAAAATTGGAAAAGTGACAAGGAGACTAGGTTTGCTGATAAAATAGCCAAGTACGTGACGACTAGAGATGAATTAGCAAAAACAGATATGTCTCAAACTGATTTCGTATTAGGTAATAACAAATCATTATTTCTTTCTTTCTTTATGATATTCATAATAGTAACTTGCTGCCCAAACACAATTATTGTTCAATTATTATTGTTGTGACCTCCATAATAATGAGCTATTTTTATGAATTAATATAATATATGATATATTATACGTTCTTATGTTTAGCTAAATTCAAATATAGGTACTATAAATTGCTTATAAGTTCGTAACATTTTCCTAATTTTGCAGTTTTGGTTGTTAGAAACGAATAAAAATAGCCTTCGTTAATTTTCCTATGTCAGCATTAAATGGTGAAGTTGCATCCAGACAGACCAGGTACAATTTAATTGCTCTTTATAAATTGGGTTGCAAGTTGCTTGAAGGTTAATGCTTAAATACTTATTAGCATTTTTGTATTTTACTTGCATTTTATTGTTTATTGTTGTGTTAAACTGTCATGCCCATTTTCAGGCCTTTTTCACGAGAGTCACATGGAGTACAGGTTAAAATCAAATGTCGAGACACAGCCCACGTTACAAGAAATGACCAGGAATGCTATTCAGTTGCTCCAGAAAGAAGCAAATGGTTACGTTCTTTTCGTAGAAGGTGGCCTCATCGATAAGGCACATCACCACACGTGGGCAAGAGTTGCACTAGACGAGACGTTAGAGTTTTCTAAAGCTGTGGCAGACGCTGTAGCAATGACTAGTGAAGATGACACATTAATCGTGGTTACTTCAGATCACGCTCACACCATGACGATGGCTGGTTATCCTAAACGAAACGAGGATATCCTCGGGTTATCGCGATCACTTGCAATGGATAATAAGACTTACACAACACTGAGCTACGCCATCGGTCCAAAAAAGTCCTTCACGTATGACAACACCTCATGTCATAGAGTCAACGTGACCGAAGAAGATTTAAGTAAATATATTAAAACCCATAAACTATTTTACTAAAATAAAAAAAAAAACTATTTTAAAATTTACTAAAAAAGTATTTTAATTACTAACTGGGTTTTATCTATTTTTTCTACATAATTGTGTGTTGAAAATTATATGATAATCACTGATGGTCTAAAAATGAAGTTACTATTTTTATTTATAGTGGAGATATTACAACAGGACTATGAAAATGTTGAATATTCTAATTTGAGTTGTTGTTTTTTAGAACAAATTGACTATGAATATCCGAGCCTTGTCGATCGGAAAAGTGATACACATGGAGGCGATGATGTCGTGGTATTTGCAAGGGGACCTATGTCTCATTTATTCACCGGAAACTACGAGCAAAATCAAATTGCTCTAGGGTTGGCTATGGCAGCAGGAATTTCTACTGACCCACCGACTAATGGTTCCAATATTGGTAACGTTGTTCGATTGCAATTTGCCGGACAAACCATTCTCACTATTATCACGTTGATAAGTCTCATGAGAATTTTACAGCACAGCTCATAGATTTCAAAATGAGTATCAAAATATATAAATAAAGTAATTTTACTTGTAAGTCAATTAATATCATAAATGTATGTTGTATGCATATTGCACATATCTATTATAAAAAAAGTTTTGTATTTTATTTACATGTTTTACATAAATAAAAAATATCATTGGACATTTTAATTTCAAGTTAATAAGTACTACAAAATATGATATTAAAGTTAAATTATGAGAACGTTCTTTAATACAGTATAATTTCCATTCTGCGAAGGCACATGGGAAACAAAAACAACCCTGATTATAAAGAATTTCGATAAATATAATTAAATAAATTTGGTTCTAACTTGGTTTCGTCTTTTAAAATATTTCGTTAAACAGACATTGTTGTTAAATAGAACAAATGTTCTTTTTTGTTGTATGGAATTTTTATTGCATAATTTATTCGGAAATAAATTTAAGCCAGTCTTAGGAGAGTAATACTAAATTAATATTCATTAAATTAATGTTGTGTTAGAAATAACGAAAATTCTTAAAACTTTTTTTCATATGTAACTTTATAAAATATTAATTAATATACTATATGAATCTTACATATAATATTAAACTTTTCACACTTTTCGTAGCTTTTACAGTTTTACTACATTACTATATTATAAATACCTTTTTGGTATGTATAACGGTGTATATTCGAGTGTAGTATCGTATCGTATCCTATATTCTAGCCTATATTCTTTAAGTCATTTATGCACAGAATATTATACGTAACAAGTTTAGATTTTTTAGTCGAAATTCAAACTAAAAAGAGTTTATTTAATTTCGTTGACATTATGAGCTAAATGTAATGGTTTCTTTAACGTACCTATACTTGGGCGACTCACGTACTCGAACGATTCGTGTAGTAAGACATGGGTATGGGATCCGATCAATATATTTTATTCACATCACGTGTGTTCAGTTTTGTTTAAAACTTTTTTTTTTTACATTCCTGAGTACCTAACATTCATTACCATTTTCTATGAGTACCCATACAAGTACGTGTATACCTGTAATACAACATCATCCAGATCATTCCATAAGACAGTCAAACATTGATGTACTTTCGTCGAATATGTTTTTATTAGTATATTATATATATATACATATATTATGTCTTATCTAATAGTTGAAGTGTAGGCAAATAGCATATTATTATAAAATATTTTAAACAACAAAATATCGCCTATAACAAAAGGGGTTTTTTAGAACAATACGTTTTTAAATCAGTTGACTGAAAAAATACCATCATAATAAATGAGTTGTTTGAATTAATTGTATTCCACGGATTTGCGAAGGATTTACAAGTCGTACATAGGGTATTAAACTGTTGCGTCCTCGAGGTACATATAGAATTATAATAGTATAATAATGTAGGTATGTAATACGTTTTTCGAAAGGATTTGTAACATTCGGTATTATATTCTATTACGAATGCAGAATATTTGTAGCAATTCGATCTAAGCGTCGCCAAACAACAATAATAATAATATTATTATTATAATAACGTTAGACCGAACACTGCTAAATGCTAATGCCTCGCATTATTATTATTATAAACGGCGTATTATGGTTTACGGTTCGTGGGCACACCGATGAAAAAGACAAAAACATTATTATTGTTTTTTTTTTTATTTTCATAATGTGCAGCAGCGGCAGCAGCAGCGTATATCGGAGCATTTGAATTATCGTTGTTAAACGACGACTACGACGACTAACCAGGAGCCCCCCGTGCCTAGCGTGACGAGTCGTAATATATTATTATATCTGTTTGTGTCGAGTACGGTTTTCGGTAATTCGAGACCGTACATGTACATCATGAATAGCGAATAAAATAATGAATACGTATAATATTTATGATGAACCTTTGAGGGGACAGGGCGGAGGGACATTGTCACGCGATGATTTATGTAAAAACGACGGCGCCGCCGTTGTTTTAGGAACTTAGGGTAAAACGTTTAAACGTTATTAAAAAAAAAAAATAAAAAAAAAACTATATGATTAAGGATCGCGTTCTGTCGTCGGGTTAAACGTCTCGAACGATGTTTTATTTTCGTGTAACAATAATCGTAAATGCGTAAAATGTCTTCGCGACGACAACGATTCTTAAACGTATTATTATTACTATTTCAAATGTATTATTATTATTATACGCACGCGTTCGTCGTTTCATCACGTATTTCATAGATATGTGTCTTATTTTACCTTTATTTTCTCTTTTGTAGACCATCGGCCATTGTACATATGTCATCAGAAATCAAGCTAACCCGTCCTGCAATTATAACTCATTGGTATCCAAAAGTGTTACATAATGCCTATCTTAAAAGGTGCAAACATTAAATTCGCATGTTTTTTGGAAGGGGGTGAAGCAACTTGACTATCAACTTGTCAAGATTATGAGTAGAAATCAAAACATCAGATATAGTACCTATATTGTAATCGTCATATACGCAATATATTATTTATGTAATATGACGACTGTTTCGGATAATTGCTCGATGAATAGTACAATCTTGAATAGTATGGTAGTATGGTCACCAAAGTGGTTTACTTAGAACACGTCTGATTGAAGTATTTAATGTATTTACACAACACATACAATGTTTTTCGAAGTGGTTTTACTCGGAAGTCAACACCCGCGCACGTGATAATGATATCAGTACCTATTATAAAACTATTAAAATATTATACAAAGGGATAACATAAACAGTATCCAGTAAATTGATCGCACAGTTGCACAAATATAATGATAGACGCTGTTGGGTGTAAGATTTTAAAATGAATCGTTATACCACGTTGACTAAAACGGGATTTACATTGATATTGAATAAGGAAATGCGAAAAAATAGTAGTGGTCAAATAAAATATTGCGTCAGATCAAGGTCAGATTTAACATGACTTATTGCGGTGGAAAATATCTAATAAAAAATATTTATTATATATCAATTTATTAAAATACTGCTAAGGCAATAAGTCCTATTATAATTTGTTTATCTATGTGTTAAAAACGAGTATGTTACATTCATTACACAATAGCGATTGACATAATATGTTCGATAGAAATACACTACTAGATAATACAATAGATATTTTATGAAACAAAATTGATTTCTACAAATGTTTAAAGACTGATAAAAATAATCTAAATCGAAATATGTATTACATGAAATTATTAAATGATTTGCAAGACAGTTTAAAATGTAGTACTTTCATTGGAAAACATATTTTGGTAAATATATTTTAGATATCTTGTGGGAAGGACTAGAATTGACTACTGACAGAATTAATTTTGAAACAAATAAGAGAAAGGGTTTCAGGATAATCGACAACACCTAAATACTATGTTAAGTCACCTACCTGTATAAGAACTACAGAATCAAAAATAAATGCTTGTCATTAAGTAAATATAAATATTAAGAAATTAAGTACTATTTTGGTTCGACGCCTGAGCGTATTCAATTTCAATGAGGTAAAACTTAACTAATTATATCGTACTGATTATATGCCTTTGTCTTGTCATAGATGTATTAATAAATATGTTTTTAAATAAAATTAGAATTAACGAGTGTTTTCAAAACTGTTTGAACAATGTATGAATGACATGTTCTTTTAATAAGTAGGAGGTTGAACAATTCTTTATTAATAATTATTATTGATAGTTTCAGTATGATTGATGACATTTAATTTAGGGTAAAACATTTCATCGAGATGTTTAAAGTTAGATACTAGATCAAAGTTGAATTCACAGATCGAGCAAGTAATTACCATTAAAAGAGTTATATTGATTCATGAGTAGCACACAAATTATCAAGTTTTAGGCAGTTATTAGTGGGCCATTTCTCAAAGTTATTGATATAGCAGTGCTGAAAAATTGTGTCCTGATTTGTTTTTATTGTATTCACGGCTATGTACCGTCAGCAGATAGAAACAGTTGAGAGTCTCTATAACGTTGGGCAGATAGTTTGTACAAAAATATAAGATAGAAAAAAAAATAACCTTATGAAACACTGAATCGGACAGATTCAAATTGACAAAATGTCTGTAATTAGTTGTGATACTACAATAAGTTGAAAGAACGAAACCACGATATTGTTATATTATGTGCTACTGAATAATGTAGAAGTGTCCACAAGTATATTTTCAATCTCAAGTCTATTTGTGAAATCGTAAACCGTGTGTATTATTATTAAGTCACAAACCCCGAGTAATATGTGGCGGGGAAAAAAACCCAAGTTTCTTTACATTATATAGTTATTATATCGTATATTTTGAGTGCGGTTGGTCTATTCTGCACACGTTCCATATCGTCGCTAAATGCCAGTATTTTAACTATTACAGTCAATGCATAATGTAGAACGCACTCGTTAAAAAAGGCCGTGGCAAATGTGTTATGTTGGTTATAAATTCAGGATACGGGTCGGACAAGTACAGTATTTTGGCACGTGGATGCATCGGGTTTGTCCGAACCAAAAGTGGATATTAAAGTTTAAAACTATAATCAGTTCAAAGTAATCGCTTGTTCAAATGTTCAATATGTGAACAGTGTACGCGAGACGGACAAACTTGAGTTTAATAATTCAATTTATTTAAGTTAGGTAGGTACCCAACAGAGTTAAGTTTCCAATTATAATCGACGATAATTCAAAGTTGACAGATAGTTTTTGAAACTCCTAGAGTATTAATCTAAAATCAACGTTCAAATACCATCATATCTATTATTATGACTTTAGAAGGAAAATATAAGGAAACAATTTGAAATGGCTGATTTAATCTTAAAAAAAAAATGTGTTTGAATATCAATAGAAAGCATGTTTTATGACTTGTGTGTAGGCCAAAATAACTTATTAAAGTGGAGAAAAGCTCACCAAAGAACTTCAATGTCTCTGTGTGTCATAATCATGTTAAAACCCTGTGTGGTATTATTATAATACAAAATGACATACAATTTTTGAGTGGTTCACGTATGCTGTGTGCACTTAGAAATAATAGCAAAAAAGAAATATTATAATATCAATAGAATATTTTATTGATTAAAATTTGATATCTTAGTGGGTTGCCGCTATAGTTCTTCACGACAAAGAGTGACGAGATTTCAAGGAAATAAATGTTATTAATTTGTTGTAGTAAAAAAAAGCTTCCTATACGTATCATATTCTAGACATTGTATGGTTATTAAAATGTTTCGTCTACTTCAAATTTATTAATATACATTTAAAATGTCGGCCTTTGAATTAAATTTGTATCTTTCTTAAAAAAAACTTGGAAAGTAAGTAAAAGGTTCCAAATAAGTTGTTATTGCTAGAATTAAAAAAAAAGTTTACCATAGAAAGCCACATTATTTTTATGTAAGTGTTTGAAGTTTAAATCGATGGATCACCATGTATAATAGATGAACTTTTATCATCTACAAAGTAGACTATACGTAAAACTTCTTTTACCACCAAACATCAATACGTTTAAAAGTTTAAAACTCGTTATTTAATAATATTAATTTATTAACACAGGCTATGAATTCATAACGAATTTATGCGTTGTTTGGGCTATGGATGTTGTGCGCCGTTGATATGTGTTATTGTGTGGTAATGAAAAGTGCGGTTAATATGTTATCACAATGAGACGAATTGCGGTGAGAGGAGGTGGAGCCCCTGTATAGTTTATAGTTAGTGATCTCTGGACACATTTATATAACCCTCTCCCCCGACAAAATCTCAAATAATTTACAAACAATGTGTATAATATGTTTTAATCATCAATACAACACGTTACACTCGAGATAACAAACTTTATGTATACATAGGTATTACACATCTATAACTAAAAGAACATAAGTCCGAACAAACACACGTAAGTTCAAGTGCACGTTTACATATAAGTAATACCAAGACACGAAGAAAATATTATAATTAAACAAACAATGTAGTACGTATTATGATAAATAGCATTCAGTTTAGATCTCGTGGCCTGTCCATTAAAAAAAAAAAAAAAATGATGAAATTAACTAGTACGGTATGTGTTTGCATTACAGATTGCGGGAGTTCGCAAAAAAAAAAAAAACCACCCTCTTAAAATAAATCAAGAACATTGAGCGTTATAGATACGATTACAATTGTCATACAAGTCTCATGTGGTTGCGTTATATAAAAAATTAGTAAAGTCGATCAGCGTGTACACCGATTTTAATTTGACTATTGTTTGTTGAAGATAACAATTACATGACAACATGTGGTGCAATCCACTTGTGGCCGGCATAATATTTATTTTTATTTCACAACGTTTCATAAGTGCGTTGAAAATATAGCTGATAATAAGTCTTAAGCGTGATTTGATTCCAAGTATAAAATACTTATCCGCACACCTGTCATACGCATAACCGTGTTTCTGGTTCAGACGTGTGCGATAATGCGACCATACGGAGTTCCGTGCGCCTTTGCGCTGTCGATCGCGACGGCGTTGCTGTTTGCAGCTTCCACGGAAGGTATCGATGATATAAGTACGTATTATGTCCGACGATATATATTACTGCAGAAATAATGCAATAATTGTATTGTGATGTGCTCATATATTACTATTATTACTATTATCATCATAATCAACGGGGGATGAGCTATAAAAAATAATTAATTCGAGTTAAACTGTTAAGTGAATTAAAAATGATTAAGTTAGACGTTTGTATAGTAAACACATAAAGGTACATAATTCAATTGGGTAAGTTAATATGGAAAAAAATATTAACGATGATAAAAACTAAAAAGTTAGTTCAACTCTTTTAATTAGAACTTGGATCACATGAATAGTGATTGTGTTTTTTCTAATTTCTTAAATTAGAATATAGAATTTTATTGAAATGCTATCATAATCATCATCATTTATTTCGAAATGAAGTGCACTATTATAGCCCTTAGTCCTCTGTCGCCTGTGGGTATCAGCAATATATCATAATATATTACTTGTCCATATTCAGGGTTGGACTGGCCCCAAAATATGTACCCGGGAATTCTATTTTTGCAGGCCCCACTTTATAATTGTCTACTATACTCTACTTTAATTTTTTCTAGTTTTTTTCCATCAGTTTTAATTGATATAAATTCTAAAAAATAGATTTAAATAATTTTTCTTTTATCAAGATCACCATCACTTCGGACTTGCGTTCCAATATAGATGTGGCGGTACGGCCATTTCTTGCTGCTGCAAACCAGGAAAATTCCCTGTGTCTCGGTAGGATAGTTCAACCCTGTCTATATTCGAAATATCGCAGTTGCAGTATTATATATATATTCATAATGTGTGGAACGTTCCATATTGTCGTATTATAATTTAATGTCATCATAATACGGATAATTAGTAATTGACCATAAGAATTTAAGAACAGTACCTAGAAATGCCGAACTTACTCTATACACCTTTCAGATATTAGTAAATATTTTGTATTTTCTGATTCATGAAGATGGGTTTAGTAGTTTAAAAGTAGATGGTAATAATAAATTGCATTGAGCTGGTAGGGGATAGCAGGGATACGTTACGTTCAGCCAAACAGTTATATCTTCAAGTTTTTTAAATTTTTTTTTAAATTTTTAGAATTTGGTTAGTGACCGTATTTTTTAATCGATAATAACTATTACTTTCATTACGCATAAATAATATTGTGTATACTTTTTAACTATCTGTCTACAATATTATTTAATCAAAAAACATAACGAAAATTATATTATTTCAGTATTAGATTAATGAAATTCAATACAATATCTATAAAATAGGTAATTAATGTATATATAAACATGAAACTAAAAATGTCAAAAGTATTTTTAATGATTACGTACTGGATGGATTATTTTTAAATCTACTGAAAAAAAGCTAAGATTAGTCGAATTGTTGGTAAATTAAATTAGTTGAATTATTTCAAAATACATTTACATTTAGGGAAGCTCGAATTTTAAGTTATTATTATCATAGATTATTTGTGGAGCAAAGTTTGTAGTATAGTGCACACTTTCTTACTCTTTCATTCGTTATGTAAGTCAGTGCACATGGAAAACTAAAAACTGTAATAAAACAACTTAACATTTTATTCCCTTTTTTAAAAAAATGGCGTTAGTTGAATACGCTTCGCACGATTTTATAATCAGTATTTGTTGATTGCAGGGCATACCGACAACAATGCTGAAAATATCGCTGCTAGAAAACGGGCGAGCAACGAAAACATTAGTCCAGACGAAAACAGTAAGTAAAGAAAAAGAAGGTTATCACAAATGCGTTTCACTAATTTTAAAGTCAGACATCAAACAATTTGTAACCCAACAGTTTCCGTGAAAACTCAATTTTCATTTCAACGAGTGTATCGTAGCTTACGTTTTTTTTGGGAAGATGAACTCAAATGCGAGAGTTATTCGCTACATTTAAATGATTTTAAAACTATAATATACCTCTAGTCATGAAGTCATATGTGACGATGAGTGATGAGATAATGTATTTTAGGGAGGGGGGAGGATACAACTTTTAAAAATATAATTCCCTAGAAATTTATCATCCTTTTTAAACGTAAGATTTATTTAATAATTTATCAGCCACATAAACTTATTATTTCACTACCTAAATCGCAAAAAGCAAAAAGTTCACATCTTTTTCATGTTTATATCCATCGCCAAAAAGTTCGAGTTTGAATTCACTCTGTAATTTGATTTCATGTTGAATTCTAAAACCGTCTGCAATCACCAATATTAAAAATGTTCAAATACTCGTCTTTTGGTATAATATATGTCTTGACATTTAAATACAAAGGTTGAAGGTTACGAAAATTATGCTCACTAATCGATATTTTGCTATTCGAAAGCGTTTGTCTTGCAAATCATTTGAAAATTTTGGACTATGTGCAATAACGCGCACGGTTTCATTGTATTTACAATATTAATAACTGCAGTAAAATATATTATATTATTAGACAAGCAGTTTTGGTTCAACGCCGGAAATAATCTTCTGCGGAATAAATTGAATTCGGAACGGCAGTATGGCGTGGCGAAGAACGTGATTTTTTTCATCGGCGACGGAATGTCGATAGCCACGTTGACCTCAGCCAGAATTTACATGGGACAACAGAAAAATCAAACAGGAAGCGAAAAGGAAATGCTGTCGTTTGAGAAGTTCCCGTTTACCGGTCTTTCGAAAGTGAGTTGACGCCCTACAATTGTTGATAAATGTCAAGTTATACTTTTGTTGAATTTCTTTTGATAAAATAAATCGACATTTTGGTGTGGATGACTTTTCGGTTTGAACAAATCAAACAGTGCCTAGGTAAATTAGAATTGTTTTTTTTTTAACGTTGGGTCATATTTCGTCGGATACGAAACTAATTACAAGGGAAAATGTATTTGATATCAACGTAAAAAATATTAAAACGAAATACTGGCAAATATGAAATGGATATATTATGCTTATACGTTCAAAACAAAATTAGAAGTTTTGTTTTGGTTTACAGACATGCAGTTGTGTTTAAATTTAAATTCATGCTACGTAATCTAGAAACCTTAATTTTGATTATGAAGAACGCAACTATTATCAGCAGTCTAGCTGGTATTCCCCAATAACCCTCGAGAATTTCTAATTAACATTATTAAAGGATTTTTTCTCCCATTTGTCTGGTGCAGACCTACTGCGTGGACAGTCAGGTGGCCGACTCGGCTTGCTCCGCCACTGCATACCTGACAGGCGTGAAGGGCAACATCGAGACCATCGGAGTGTCCGGCGCAGTATCCAACCGGGACTGTTTAGCCAGCAACGAACCTGCGAACCAAGCGGTTTCAAGTATGCTGTGGGCTCAACGGGCGGGTAAGAGGACGGGCGTAGTGTCCAACATGAGGGTGACGCACGCTACGCCGGCCGGCGCTTACGCCAACGTGGCGCAACGCGTCTGGGAGTGCGACAATGACGTGTTGATCGACCCATTGTCCGACAAATCGTGCGCGACAAAATCAGCGGACATCGCCCGTCAGCTGATTGAGAGGGAAACCGGCCGAAATCTGAACGTGAGTAACTGATTAGGATTTTTTTTTTTTGGAGGTTTCCCGATCGGCTCGGTTACGAGTCTGAGTGTGATTTCATTCATAGTTGTCCGCACTATTTTCCATAATATCAATAAATTATATGTTTCCTCAAAATGTCTAGACATTTGTCGAATTCTTGTACTGAATGTTCTTTCAAGTGAAGAATTTCGAAACGTTTTTGAAATGTGTATCATCAAACACTCGAAAATTGTGAAAAATATATATCACACACTTTGATGAGAAGCATAGAAATATAGAATTCAAAGATTATAAGAAGATATTGTTATTACTATGGGAAGTTAATGGTATTAATGAATTTAACTTTGATTTTCATTCATAGACATTTAATATAATCGCACTCGATGTGTAAACAATGTATACGATTTAATCCTATGTAGATTTCACTTGAAAACATCGTATAGATACATAAGTGTAGTAGTTACGCAATAATATAGGTGCCTATTAATAATGATTGTATAAATACGTAAATCAAGGTTTTATGCCATATTTTTGCAGGTAGTAATGGGAGGTGGAAGGGCAAAATTTTTTCCCCAAACCGATAAAGATCAAAAAAACTATCCGGGAGAAAGAAGTGATGGCAGAAACTTGATTAAAGAATGGTTAGAGATAAATCGCACTTCAGGGGCAAGTAGTGCTTATGTCACCGACCGTTCCCAATTGAAATTTGTGAATACCAGTGACACGGATTATCTACTCGGTAAATATTTTATAACTTTATTTTTACTTAAGTGTGTTTATTATTCCACAACTAAAATATCATAATATATAAGACGCACTTGAATAATCAAAGCTATACCATTAAGGAAGGTATAATTATAGCGTACTAATAATTTATTGTAATAATGACAATTTCTAAACACATCAATATTGTAATGATGTGCTTCACTATAATAAAATAATTCCATCAATATAGTTTAATATTATTATTTATTGTAGTGTGAAAATAAAACGGTTTCATTTAAAAAGATTATGGACGATTAATGATTTATCAAGCGAAGTAACAACTATTGCGTTTACACAACTTTCACCGTAGTTTTATGGGAAACCCAAAACGAATTGAAAAACAACTTTTAAGTGTAGAAATACATTTTTTAAAACACTTTTTTTCGTGTTTATTAAATTGTTCTTTATTGTTGAGTATTTATACCTGTACTCGTATTACTTTGGCTTCAATGGACTTAGAAACGATATTTTTTTTAACCAAAATAAATTTGAGAACTTATACTTAAAGTTAGCGTGTGGTTTCTTTAACATCTTAGTTTCAGTGTTTTAAATATAAATACATCTTTAAGCAATTTAAAATGTTGTATATTTAAACTGTTTGAAAAAAGTTATTAAACGAATTCTCACTCAGACATTTACAACAATTTCTGAAGTTCATTTTGCGGAAAAAAACGTTTTTCGACAATCGAGACGGCCAGCATACAGTGTAAATGCGTAAACATGTTTTTAAGCTCAACGTCGTTACACCGAACGTTAAAGAACGAATATAATTTACTTTAATGTGGTTTCCGAAACACACAAAATTCCGATGTGTCATGACGTTAATGTAATCAAGGTTATTAAATCAAATAAAATATGTACTGTACATACAATTACAATTTAATTTAACGTGGAATTCAAATTGAATTTGAATTTTTCTTTTTAAAGTAATAAAAAATAGATAATACTCAGAATTTTAACATAATAATTACAATTTTCTTTTAACATTTCATAAAATTGTTGTTTAAATAATAATCGGAAGGGTCGGTATTTTGATTTGTTGCCTCAGATGAATATATTATAGAATATTTTAATTAATTTTAAGTGCTTGTAGTCGATAAACACATATGAATGCTTATAGAACATGTATATAAAACTGTTTAGTATTTACTAAAAACGATATAGGTTCATGTTCACCTGTTATAGCCATTGGTTTATATTAATAAAAAGTTCTATGTTTAATTACATTTTGAAAACCTGAATATTATTACTTAATAACCAAAATATCAAATACTAAACTTTCATGCGTAAATTTAACAATAACCAGTAGATTTTTATTTTGATTGTTTCTGTGTAAATATTAATAAATACTTTTTTAGTTATGAAAAAATGGTTGTGCCAATGAACTTTTTTGACGATGATTTAACGCAAACAAATAATAATTATTAAGTTTATTTAATAAATGATGATTAAGATATTTTTATAATAATATGATATCGTCGTGTTCATAATATTATAATGTACAAAATAATAATATTCAAATATTAGCGAATACTGAGCAAAAAAAAATGCATTTGTTTACAATCATTATTATATAACATTTTAAATTTACAGGATTGAAGTTAATTGTTCTATTATCTATTATAAATTTAGATGTTAAAGTCTACTTACAAACGAAAATTTTTTTTCACATGAATGTTTTTTGAACATCACAATAAATAACTAAATACCAATGCTCATTGGAGTGGATCCAGAAATGAATACAGGGTTGGGCTAAACACAAAATATGCATCTATATGACTATAATATATCATATTATGAGTCATATGAATAAGGCAGGACTTAGGTGGGGTGACGTGGATCCTGAGTTTCCATAAAATATTGAAATACCTGATCCACAAAAGTATTTTTCCTTCACTATAAAAAATACGAATATTTTTAAAATTTAAATCGAAAAAATTGATTTTTTTTCAATTTAATTTTTTATATTATGTTCTTACTTTTTGGTAATACTAATGTACAGACATACTGTAAAGTGTTGCAATAGGTGTATAAATCAAAAATAGAAATATAATTTTTTTTTTAAATACGAAAACGTGTCACGAAAAAGCGTTATTTACAATAGTTTCTTAACAACTACTTACAAAGAATAGGGATCCGGGGGCTTCAACTTAGATAAAACTGAGCATGCAAACAAATATAATTAATTAAGTCCTTTTTAATATGGGCTATAAACGTATTTAAATTATTGTTCGTATAAGAACTGTTACAAATAATTTGTATCATTTGTATGATATGTACTCTACAATTTTTTAAATATTACCTAATAAAATGAGAAAGAATTATTAAAATGGTATTTAATTTTGAGAGAGTGTTATCCCCCAAAGCCACATTCTTGTATCACCCCCCCCCCCTATCCTTAAATGTACATAATCGTTCATAAGTATTATAATATCAAATGTTCGGATTAGTTTAGAGAGGTATTGAAATATTATACTCCAAGGGGCTTACCCAATTACGTTACGTTTTATAAAATATATAATATTTTAAGTATGTTTTTTTTAAATGATTTATCATTGTCATTTATGATTTCACTGACAGTTACTACACCGTAATAATAATATACAGATATGATTAACAACAATAGCATGAAAACAATTTACAACTGTGAGTCTCAAACTCGTGACTTTTAAATTTTAATGGTCGATCAATGCTTATAAACGTATAATAAATTATTATGCACGCTCCCGTGTCTTATGCGTTATTATATTTTTTGTTTTACGATTCGATTTCGTTAAAAAGTGTCCTGGAGTAATTTACGACTTGTTAATCCACGTCTCCGTTTGCTTATCTAAACTTTAAAACTTGCATAACGATAGTTGAATACAAATAATAGCAATTATTTGACCTTTTAAACATGTATACATGATATTATCTCTAGAAATACTTTGGATTGCAACATTTTTAATATTTAATTTCAGTAGAGTGGTGTGGTTGTATGTGTGCGTTCATGATTTTGAGTAGGAATAATAGACATTCGATCATCTCATTATGCTTATTCATGCAGCTGTTTCTGGTAAAATATTGGATTTAAGTATTGTATCAACACTAATTGGAGGTTATTATCCCCTCGTCACCTCCTTCCAATTAAACCCCACGTTTAACCATCTCCAGACATTTTTATCCCATCCTAGTTAAAAATGCAAATCCTTTCATTAAAAAAAAAAGCATTTAGTGACAATGACCCAAAACAGATTCCGTGATCTGGCTACAATAAATTAAGAAAGGTATTGATAAGCTCAGAATTGTCCAATAAAATGTTGAAAGTTGCTTTTACGTCGATGGACGGATCCTCTCTGTTCCCGTCGAAATATATTGCATATAAATTATGTATAAAAACCACAAAAATATGTATTTTTTTTCACACAACTCATTTTTTGTCCATAGAACATTTGTAAATGGGCCGCGTAGTGGGTACCATTGCTTTAGTGGCTTTATAATAATTAACAACAGGTGTACGCAGTTCCGGTCGTCGCCGATTCCGCCGCCACTCGTTCGGACGAATCAACCCTCAAGTACGTGCGCGTACACATAACACTCGCTCACATATATATGTTCATGTAATATACGTATTTACACGTAGAGGACCGACGACGAAGGGGTTTATTACACGTAAAACTACTATACAGGTACACGGGGGGGTGATATGATGGCTTTTATATAGACCTGCTAGGGACGTGTTTATTATTTTACCGTTCCGGCCGACCGTCGCTCGCAGCCGCCGTCGCCACTCCGGACATGCATAATAATAATAACGACTGGAATATAATAATAATATTATCATGACGTTTATTATTTTTGTTTGTTTACGGTCGATTTGATGTGACGGAATTAAAATATAATATATTATAATAACGGTGTAATATTATTAACAATAGCGGACGCGCGTCCCCGATAACCGCGGCCGTCGAGTCGGAGTGGGTCGTAAAACCGGGTAGGTGCAGTTGACGGGGCGCAGGGTAGTACCACCAACACTATAGCAATAATATAACATAAAGTGGTCGTGGGTTTCGAGAGCGAGTGTGTACGGCGAGGACAAAAAAACGTATAACAATTATTATTGTATTGTGCGCGGTGATAATGTTCAACGTCGTCCCCGAATAAGCTGGTTAGCTGGATTCGGGTGGTTCCGGCGGTGTCGTTGACTGTCATGGGTCGCATAATATGCATTATAGTAGGTACGAGGGGTAGCAAGGACTACGGAGGTTAGTACCTATACTATAGTGGCGGCGGTCCAAATCGGAAACGGTAGTTCCGGCGACGGATCTTTTTGCGTAGACTTTGTAATCAAATTTGTTGTTGTTTACGGTCACGGGCCAGTGCGCGGTAGAGTGTTCCACGAGAAATCCGTTTGTTTGACCGAATGAATTCGATTTTAAACCCGAATGATCACGTGTATATTCACGTCAGACGTCATCGTGGTCACAATTTATCGTGATCAGTCGTAAAAGAGACATTTTCGACAGTCGTAACTCGTAAGAACTACACGTTTATGTTCTGTCAGGTTAAGTTATGATTAGCCTATGATTCTATATACTGGTAGGGAAATGAAAACACACATTGTATAATAATGTTATGGTCAGTGCTTGAATAGAGGGGGCGGGCAGAGTCTCACTTAAAACAAATATTTATGCTTATCCCATTTAATTATATCTCAATCGATGAGACATTTAAATATTAATGTACGCTAATTTTTTTTACTCTTTCAGTCTTTCGCATACCTCATTTAATTCTTTTTCAACTCAAACGCTAATAGACACCTCAGGAATTCGGTTATTTATTGAACCGAGAATGCAATTTTCGAGTTTATTATAATATTATTATGTTTCCGATGGGTTGAATAATATATATTATGATAGGTGTATTATCGAGTATTCGAATGTACATGGTAATCTCGAACTCGTAAAATTAATGGGTAGCGTGTATAGTAGAAATCGATATAATTTAAAATATTATATACTAATATATTATTGTTTTATCGGACATTTAGACGACACTGTATGTCAGGGCGATCTTTAAAAGTCGTGAGCTTATTTATTTTATAATTGCCTTATGTCACGATACGTTGCACAATGCAAAATAACAAAAACAATTATCTGTGATGCGAAACAAGCATCGATAAAATGAAATGCAAATGTTTTTGCACGGATCATGATTTAATTTATTTTACTCATAATATTTATTTATTTTTAGAAACGTCTATTAAAAATAAAATAATCAATAATTAATAATTTAAAGAAAAAAAAACAATTATGATGGTATTGTTGTAAAACGTTTATTTTTTGCATTTCACAGTTGATTTATTTTAATTATTTTTCCAGAGAAAGCCAAGAATGTACCTATTCAGTATTGGTATTTCTTTTATTTTTTATAATTACATTTATAAATTACATGTAAGCTTATGGTTGACTTTTACGAGTATCGAATACAAATAATAGAAACCGGGGAAGTCCCTCTATTCTATAATGCAGTTAACCCAATGTACCTGATCATTGAGTAGGTATTTAATCACTGTAATGGGGTATGCTAAATTTGAACTTGATTTGATGATAAACAATTTGATAAAAAGAAAACAGTTCGGAGCTTAAATGATCGGTCAACCTATATTTTAAAAGATTCTTATTATATATTTATATTTTATATTGCAATTAGTAATTTATTTTTCTATTAGTAATACGGTAGTTCAAACTAGATTTTGCAAAATACAAATTGCATATGCGTTAAATAGAGTGATTTGCCACTCTTGCTCACTCACATTTTTCTTTAACTATATATTTATTAAAACTATAATTTTCGTGGTTCTTAAGTATAAATACTTTAGGCACATATTTTGAAATACTTAGATTTCTTATATCAAGAGTGCTCAACTTCTATTAATTATCAAACTTGAACCACCCTTTTTCCCTATTAGTTGTTAAATACATATTTTTTTGAATATGTTGATGTATTTTATTTAAAATTCAAACGACTATTTATTAAAATGTATTTACTAAAAATAATAATCACTATAAATGGATCTAATATTTAATGTATATTAATTCATTATACTCAGACAGTAATAACAAATTTTAAAATGCAAATAGATTTATAATAACAAATTACTATAAATAGCATACACCATCTTAGCCCAACATCTTCTAAACCTTTTGTCACTTCTAATTTTAACTTGAATTTAAATACATCAATAATTTAACAAAAAAATCATTTGCCTGACAATTTAGATAAAATATAGCGTATGTTTCATAATATAGTAATGTTATAATATTATAATTGAAATTAATTTAGACATGTTTTTGAATATGGTCGCCTTATAATATACTTCAATTTCACTCGTACGCAGGTCTGTTTGCATCCAGTCACATGTCTTACAACATACTCGCCAACAAGTCCGAAGAACCCACGTTGGTGGAAATGACGGAGGCAGCCATCGAGGTGCTTTCCAAAGGTGACGCCGGCTTCTATCTGTTCGTAGAGGGCGGACTCATCGACTGGGCGCACCACAGTAACATGGCGCATCTGGCTCTCGACGAGGCTGTAATGTTGTCGAAGGCTGTGGGCCGAGCCGTCGAGTTGACGTCCAGGCAAGACACTCTGATCGTGGTCACGTCTGACCACTCACATACCATGACCGTTAACGGTTACCCGCACCGTGGTAGTGACATTCTGGGACACCCAAAAATCTCCTCCAGCGACAATATGCCGTACTCAACTCTTAGCTACGCCAACGGTCCGTCCGCCAAAGAGCGGTACAACTTGACCGATGACAAAACGTGTAAGTGTTGTTGGGAAAAGGGGCAAGAGATTTAAGTACTAAATTTTTATTTTTTGGCTTATTGATATACTTATCTAGGGTTAGATTACTACCACCACTAGTAATGCCACTTGATAATAAGTGACTAATGAAAACATTTCCCGACTGGTGCCCTCATTCCCTTTATCGCTATTAGAAATATTTTACAACAATCTATCTGATTATTTCAAATAGACCTACGAAATAACTATTGTAAACACTTTTTAAAGTTAGTCTTGTAGAGAGAGACATTATACAGAGAGACCTCTACTAACGGACACCTTTAAATACCGGTCTTTGTTTTATGAACAAAATACAAACTTTCTACAATTCAGACTTTCTGGATAACGAAAAAAATTTCAGTGACCTACAGTGTCCGGTATTTAGAGGGTTCATTGTACCTACTACCCTTTACTGGGTGTATTAAAATAAAAGCTCATATTGTTTGTATTAAACAGCTTTGTACTGCACTAACGATGTTGAAGAATACTCAAAGCCAATATTAGTTCCATGTATTATTATGTATAGGTACTCACACAAACAAATTATTATTATTACAGACACACACACTACTGTACATAAAACAATATTATTGCTCCTGCTACTACCGCAGAACAAGTGTGTTTGTGTGTGTGTAATATAATAATAATTCGTTTGTAGTTAATAATAATTATTATTACCGGGGGCTTTTGTCTCCTATCGTACAATAATAATAATTGTCACTGTTAGGCCGCTCCTTTGTCTCTCATATCCTACCTGTAGTCATTGTGCTGTGCCATTTTGTCCTAGATCCGCCGTTTTTCTACGAATAACGTCTCGTTAGTGTGCAAGTGCACAATATATAGACAAGTATTTACACGTGTATTGTACATTTGTTGTTCCGGCTACCATGTTACCACCTAGTTATAATATATTATTATTGCTCACCAAATAATGAGAACAATAAATATTTTAGTTGTTTTTTTCTCGTTACATTTCCGGTTGACTCAAGTTTATTAATTCTAATCGTATTTCGTACGTGCATAATCCCCATGGTGTTTTGGCTCCGTCGGAATTAGGTGCCCGCTACGTATTTGCTCAGAGGCTTCGGAATTAGCATTTTGATATTTGTAAGAGGTGATTTCAAGAGGGCGCCATTGCTTAAGCAGGGATCCTTATTTGAAAGCTTTGCATTCCGTAATGCGTCATCGGAATAATACGCTAGCCAACAACATACTAATATGTAAACGTGAAATATTTTTAAACTGACTTTTTACTGACTCTAAGGCTTAAAGTCATGATTTGTATTCCTTAATTTATTTTGTTAAGTAAAATCTATTTACTCAAAGTAAAATAATAGGTAATAGCTGGTAATATTATCAAATACACGTTTTACACGAGAAAATTATATTATTCTTGTAATATTCACATGGGAACGAATTTTCGTGATTATTTTTTTGAACTCCTTAATTCCTTGAATAAAAATATTTTGAATTTGCTCGTACTATTGTTTGCACAGATCAACCCGAATACCAGTTCCCGTCGATGGTAAATATGTCGTGGGAGACGCACGGCGGCGACGACGTCGCGGTCTTCGCTATGGGTCCGTGGGCTCACCTGTTCGTTGGAAATTACGAACAGAACTATATACCACACGCGATAAGTTACGCAGCCAACATTGGGCCTGGGGCTGAACTTGAACGGAAACATGAGGCCAATTCGTCTAGCCCGAAGATTTTGGTCGGTCCGTCGCTGGCAGCAATCACGACACTCGTCATGTTCCTACTTCGGTAACCATAATAATATTACCTGTATTATGGTATAATACTGTTGACTAGTGGACTTGCGACTTAAACACGCGCTGCTGTAGTGGCGAATACAATTTATTTATACATTTTTTTTTTTTTGGGGGGGGGGGTTATTATGCAGATATGATACACTGTAACCCATCATATTTTGTTATACTATGGAACACAGATATTATTTTTTAATTGTTATATTAAGCTTAGATGTAATAGATAAATTAAATTGAAAATGTATATTGTATACTATGCAATCGAAAAATAAAATATTACCATATTATTGTAGTGTTATAGACACCGATACTAATTTATTTATTACTTCATGAGATGCTCGATCACTAAAATAATGTTGAATATATAGTGTATTATATGCAGATGTATACATAGGGAATGTATATTATACTTTAAATGTATAACCATTAATAATTATAAATAGCAATTTAAGCAAAATTAACTATAATATTTGTTCATCATGCTGCTATATTATTATTGAGTTAAATTTGTTTTTTATTAAATACTAAATACTATAAAATATGTTCCTAACATAATTTAAAAAAATAGATACGTAACATGAGTGTTATTGTTATATCCGTTGTGTGTCAAAGTAAGACACTGATTGGATGATATAAATCTCACGTGTTAGTGTCAATTTTAGAATAATAAAAGAACGGTGTCAGTGGTTGTAATGAACTTATATACTTAATAAGTACATGTAGTTACGCATCTACATGGAAAACAATTTAGGAAGTATTTATAAATCATAATCATAATATGAAATTATAATTATAAAACAATCATATATAAATTTAAAAAATAATAAATAAAAAATTATTTTGTGATAAATGTCTATGGGTTGAAAATCCAACCTTATTTGAAATTTCGTAAGTTAAGTACCAACGTAGGTTAGGTATCAGATATTGTTACCCAAAACTATTTGCTATGTAAATGTAAAGGAACGATAAATATTTTATTTGTAATTTTGAAAGTTGTTATTGTAAAACATTATTCCAAAATACAAATATTAGACTTATTTCAGTGTATAATAATTAATGAGATCACCATCATGTCAACACAAGGTTCTAAATTTTTGTTTAATAATCGTGCAGACACTCTGAGTCAGAACATCATTATTATCGTTTAGTATATAATACTAACAATTTAAAATGCATAATGCCATGGTTAGACGAAAGGTGGTTTTTAAATACTCAATTTCGAGAACCACAATCATTAGATTGTACTATATTTATGACGTGCCAAAAAAAAAAAAAAAAAAAAACCGGAAAAGAAACACTGTTATTTACTAATATCCTCAATGGAATTTGTATACTTTTAAGCTTTAAAACTTAAACGAAAATTTAAATTAATTATTCGTCCTTTAAAATATTTTTAATATTGCCTACATACAAAAATTTGGTTGTCTTAAGAAAAAATGTTTAATTGTTTTATTCTTAGTTCGGTTAAATCAAAACAAAATAGATACTGAAATTTATAATTCAAGTAAAGTGGCTCTCCAAACAAATTAATAGCAATTATTTTATGTATAATAATGTTACGTAAAACCAACCAATGGAAAGAAAGTTATTGACTGGGGTAATGCCAAGGTGAAAAGTTCGCACCTAATAAAATATGGCTAGAAAAGAATACCGGATAAGAAATCTTATACGTATAATACGTATTTGTCTTCTCATTAAAACCAAAACGTTATTAGTGGTGACTGACACTTATGACTTATAGGTATTAATGTATTATAATATACATTGCGGAAGCGTTTTGGTTATATTATGCTCTTCAAACAAAATATATAAACATTTGCACACGCATAAACGATAAGTGCATACAAAGTCGCTATATACTGCAGTGTATACACGCTGGCGTTTATTTGGAGTTTGGACGCCATAGAGGTTTAATGTGTATAATCTACGTTTAAGCGAACATACGTTTCAACTAGCTAAAGGATGTGTTCATATACTATTACGTTTACGTTTATTTTCATAGTTTAATTAAAACCGACGAAAACAAAATCGTTTTGGTCTTATTATATAATACAATATAATATTACTTTAAAGCACTGCGACGGTGGAAAAGTTTAAATGTGCTCAGCGTACTCCGATCGCTGTCGTGTAAGTAACAATAATGGTAAACGAATCGCACGCAAACTCGAAAATAAAACTGTTGTTCAGCCTGTTATTGGTCCTAATCCGGTACAATTACGATCACGGAATTAACGACAGCGAATATTGCGTAGAGCAATAATTATAAATTTTGTTCGGTCGCGTGCGAACGTCATTTTTACGAAAATTGTTCACATTATTAACGTTGTTATAAACATTGTGGCAATAACGTACCTTTACATCTACTCAACGCGGGTGAGTAAAAAACAAAACACTATATACTCCGGGCGACGTGTTTAACTACGCGACAAATGAGGTGTATGTTTTTAAATATCTGTCCTGCTGGTGCAGTGGGCGAAGACCGTTACGTTTGGAAAGGAAAGCCGTGAAAACAAAAAAAAATGTCAACACGAAAACAAGTTTAATTTATCGAAACGGAAAAAAAAGGTACTATATATATATATATATATATATATATACAAGCACACGCACACACACACACGGCGATCATACGTCCCATAGGAAATTCGTGAGTCCTCTGCCAAGCGAGAGAAAAAATAACTTCGTGACCGACTGCAAACACGTCTTGTACAGGGGGTTGAAAAAAAAAATAATAATAACAAAACGCCGCGGTGGTATTTTCCGGGCAAACAAATTGCGTAAGTATTAAAAACGAAAAAAACCCAAACTCAAAAGGCGGTATATAGTGTTTTGTTATAATTGACGTTTTTCGTTTGGGCCTTACAAAGTTCTCTCTCGAATGCGGTTTAATTTGGACCTTTCGTCGCCACCCCGCGCGCCCCCCACCCGGTTCGTGGGTTCCGTTGAAATGTGGAATTTCTGCGATTTCCCGTTTGTGTTTCACACTCACACGCACACACACGCACACACACTGCCACAGTGTACAGCCATCTCTCTTGGGCGCGTGAATATAATATATTGTTTCGGGACGAGAGTCAAAGGTATAGTCGTGCTGGGGTGGTGCAAACGGCCGGTGGAGGACGACGCCGCCCGAGAAAACCAAAAAGTCTGCACACGCCGACTGTTTATGTACACACGCTCATATATATATATATATACGATATACATATTTTGTATGTATGTGTATGTAAATTACATATTAAATGCACGTATATACAATATACACATTAAATAATACATACATAATACATATATATATATGATACGGATTACGCCTAGTTCTATGCTCACACGCACTTCGCACATACCCGACTATAATACGTCTCGACGGACATACTACTCGACGTGGCTATAATATATAATAATGTGCAGTTGCCCGGCTGTGGTGTGGTGTACATTATGTAGAACGGTTCGCAATTTCGGGTCGAGGGCTCAAAACAAAATGCCGTTTTTGTTAGTGGGCCGTGTGTTATAAATGCACCCGCCACCCACACGTACGCGCACGACAATAAATATTCCGGTTGGCTCGGTAGCAATTAAAATCGAAATTCTGTCCGCGAGCGAGCGCTTTAATAATTATAACAGTAATATTAAGAGTGTGGCGGCGCAGTAGACGAAACGTGGTTTTTTGATTTTGTTTCTCGTTCTCATACGTAATGGTAAATTTGTAAGAAAACCCAATTTGTGTTGAGAATAATATAGGTGAGATCATAATATTATAGTGGTTGGTGTGTACTGTACAGAATTTCGGGCAGACAATTTCCATGATTGGCAATCTACAATTAGCTTACGATTCTGTGGCATGCGTATAAAAATACCAATACATTCTTCCATTCACTCAGAATCTAAAGTGTCTAATGGTGTGTGTGTGTGTGTGTGTGTGGTGGTGGTGGGAGGAATAACTACACTGGTTATTTTGAGTTCACAGTTTTTGGTAAGGGTTGTTTCATTTGGAAATTTAACTCTAGGAAAATAAACTCTTACATGAAAATACATGTGGGTATATCAGAAAGTATATAAAATAATATCAAATATATGAACATCCCTTAAATCTCTTGGACACATTGATAAATTATGGCATTGGAGAGGGTAGGGGAGAGGGGGGTGCTTAAAGTTTCTTTCTCTGATCAAAAATGTTGCAGAAGTCAAGCCACTGAGTGTTGTACATCAGTAGAAGTCCGACTCACCTCAAAGTCAGGTATTGTATCCTGCCGAGTGAATTTTACATAATATATTACATTTAATACTACAATATCAAACGCGTCGCTGCACGTGTAAACAGAGTACCTAGTAAAGTGTTAATAATATAATGTCCACACATGACGCCAGAATGGCTTTTCGACCTACGGTTATTGAATGGATGAATTCATGTTCTAAAGGCATATAAATATAAATATAATATATATATGTATATCAGCTAGGCCACTGTCGTGTCACAAAAAGTTATGCCATGCTGTACGAACGAGGTGCGATGTGAATTGTACGTATTCGGGTAGGCTTCTAGGTTGTCAAAGTTTTTGCGTATCCACGTTGACGAGCTACATCACTGCTTGCAATATATTTTTATTCGTACGGGTCGTATATTAATTTTACTATTAGTTTCTTTCATTAAAAAAGCATACAATACAAATGGCTTATACAAATATCTACCAGCCTTAAATTTAACCAACCACTAAGTGGTGGTGGTAGAGAAGCACAATTTTACAAATCATATGTTTTCACACTTTTTTAAAATTATTTTGCAATCAAAATTATGCATTGGATAATACAATATTATATATAAAATTATAAGCAAACAAATAAAATTACTCCAAGTCCAATAACGTGAGTAACCAATTTATAATAATTTTTAAATATTTATTAGCATTGAATTGAAAAAAAAAACGTATGTCTAAAATAACACCGATTTTTAATTAAATGATTTTTTAGAGTAGTTTGATTTTGCAACATATTATGATATAATTTATTTTCCATTTATTACCTATGTTTTTTGTATCTGACAATGATTCATATTTTTTTATTATAAACATAGATAGTAACTATTTATTTTTGTACAGACTCTCAACCGTCTTTCATTATATCGTACATAAATAGTTGGATT